CGCTTTCAGCTGGGCTCAAGCTGTCGTAGATCTGCGAGAGGCGCGGGGCGCAACATGCCGAGTGAAGAAATAATTGAAATAACGCTCTTGAGCTTCAGCGCGAACCTGCTGGTTCAAAGCATGCTTTCCCGGCTCCTGGGCTGCAAACATGGGGATTTCCAGGAGTAAAACAGCTGGCGCTCAGCGCGAATCTCATGCCAGATCTCGCAGCCAGCTCGTCCCAAAGAGAGATTGCCATGAAAAGGCTCCCTTTGGCAGCAGCATCCTGCACCTTGGATACATTTTTCAACGGCGTGCCGTCTGGCCTCGTTGGAGCAAAAAACAATTCGCAAAAATGGCCGGGCTGTGCCGCGAGCAGATGCCAGGCACGCTGACCTTCAGGGTGTCAGAAAAACATCATTGCGCCTCGTTCCAGACGGTGGTCGCCTTGCCCAATAATCGCAAGGTTCCTGGGCTCGTGTTGCAGGGCTTGTCTTGAGAGGCAGACCAGCCGGCACGGTCGGAATGCGCGGGCTCTTGAAGGTTTCAAAAGGGTGATTTTTCGAACACTAAGTGCAGGACCCCAAGCACGGGACTAGGTCCCTGCAGTGCACGTCGGCTCTTTAAACAAAATCATCCCAACGCAAGGCGTCCGGCTCACAGGCGGGAGCGCCAACTGCAATGACAGTCCGAAGCTGAAGCCTGCCAAAGTGGGCAGAGCCAAACTTGTTTCGCGTCAAAACAACATGATGCTTCTCATGACGCTGCCGACCAGCAGGCCAAAAGCTTAGTTCACACAGGATATTCCTCTATGTGTGCGCCAAAGCATTGCCCCCATCTGCAGCGCTTGTCTCAAGATGCTGAAACCCCGTGCAACTTCCCCAAGCTTACGGTTTTGAGGCTGTGCAGGGAGGGGTGGAGAAGTGTTAGCATCTTGAGCAGGTCCTTGAATTGAGCCTGCGAAAAGTTATTCCGAGTGCCTCTTTGTCTTTTCTTTGGAGGCGTCTCTTCACCAAGCGCCCAAAGCAGAGTACTTTATCGCTCTGGGATTCTTTAGCCTGTGATGTGCCTGAAGCCTTCTTGGTCGGCATCCCATGAAATCTGGAAGTAGAACCGGGGGTAAGACGGGAGATTAGCCCTAGGCCCTTTGATCAGAACACAGAGCCATTTTGCCCCAACTTGGTTTGGCACCGGCGTGCGCAGGCCTGCGCACTCTTTGAATACGCCTTGCCTTCCAGCCAGCGCTGCAACTTTCCAGCCCCGCGTTCAAAGCCGGCACGTGCTGGTCTTGGATCTTGGACTTGCTTCAGTGGCTTTTTTTTGCATCCCCCTTCCTTACTTGTGCCTAAAATGCTAGCGGCCCAGTACTCACCGAGAGTGTCCACCACACAAAAACACCTCGCAACTCGCAAACCAGGGCTGGTATCAATGGGCTGCTGTGCAAACTGCCCAGCGGTTTGTGTGGCTTTGAATGCCTCATCGCTTCAAACCAAACAAATCAGCCTTTCGTGTGAATTCCGCAAAGCGGAAGAAGAAGGGCGCGCTGACGGACGGCGTGGTTGCTGGTGAACCCTGCACTTGCACAATTTGCAGCCGAACCCGCAACAACACAGGCCCGCATAAGCCAAACATGCACGCGCTTGCGTCGCGCTTAAGCATGCTGGTACAGATATCCTTGCGTGACGATTGAGGTGCAGTTGAGTCTGCATTCTGCTCACCTGTTGGCCGACCCCCACACCCGGCTTAGAATTTCCAACCTCGCTGCAACTCGCTTAATTAAGGCGTGTGAAGATTGGGCACGTGCTTCAGAACCCGCCGATCCGTATTTCGGAAGACCAAAAACGTTTCAGAAGTAGCCCCGGAACCCGCTTCGGCGTGCTTTTTCTCTGAGCTGAACAACATACTTCCCAGCCTGTGTAGGGATTCAAGGCCGCAGCCTTGGTCTGCAGTGATTTGCTTCAGTGGCTGTTTGTATTGCACCAAGGCAGGCAAGCGGTTGATGGGAATGGGACATTTTCTGGAGGAGTGCTAGATGGAGCATGTTGCCTTGACTTGAGCAAAGCATGGAGCCGTTGGACGCAACCAGCTTGGCTGTGGCCAGAACATCACGGACAGCTTCAGCTTCAGACTGCCGCAGCTTTGATTTGGAGTCCTTGCCTTGCCTCAAGTGCTGGGCCTTGTTGGGCCGTGCCAACCAAGTAGCTGAGACGCGCGTGTCACGCCTTTTCTCAGGCTGCTTGGCACGAGGCTGCAGGGGGTAGAGTTAGATGAGCGGCGTCCAAAGCCTCCAGGCACATGTGTAGTGAGAGTCGCGTCATAGAAGGACCTCTGCGAAAGCAAAAACACTCCACGAGCGAAAGGTGGCAGCATGAGAAGCATGAGAAGAAGCATGCCTTGACTTGAGCGAGACACAGAGCCTTTGCGCCCAACCAGCTTGGATTTGCACAATATTTTCTAGCAAGCTCAAGCTTGAGACTGCTGTGCTTGGTCATGTACTCCTGCCGTTTGCATTTTGGTGCTCCATGCAGCGCCGTTGGCAAAAAGTGAAGTCCTAACATCCGAGCAAGATGCACCAAAGAATAAACGGTTTCCATGGCGCAAGAAAGATGCACTGGCCGTGCTGCAAGGCAAAGCCACCAAGCCAGAAGCACTTTGGCCGGCAGCACTTTGTCTGCCAGTCAGAGCAGCCTTCTCAAGCAGAATCTTGTAAGCTGCGGGAACGGCCAAACCGGTTGGGTCCGGCCGCTATGCGCTTTGCTCGAGGCAACATTACCGTATGCTTCTCATGATGCTATCGAACACGGTATCCCATTCCATTCAAGTTTTTGCAAGCAACCTGGATGAGAAGCCAGCAGATGCCAAAGCAAGACCGCGTCCGCGCATTTGCTGGGAACTAATGGGCTTTCCATGTTGCCACTCAGCGCCAGGCGCGCCGGTCCGCCAACAGCACTGGGTCCGCCCCAAAGTTCCGGAGACACAGCGGTTGGGCCCAAGCGCCCTGCGCTTTGCTCAATTCAAGCTGAGGCCTTGAGCAAGGTCCACGGGCGCGACCTCCCAGGCATGAGGGGAGATCTACGCTGCGTCGCATGACCCTCTGAAGCGCATCTCCTCTGCGCGTGCTGGCTGCTTTCGTGTGTGAAAAACACTGGGTAAGTTATAGCGTGGTCGCTCGACCTCCCTGTGAATTCGACCCAGCAATCCCGAAATGAGGGTCGGGCGGAAATCCTGTTGTGTCATGCCCGCCACCCACACCAGCCGTTTGAATACGCAGCATTTAATGTGCTGGCCGCGGTTTGGCATGCAGCTTGAGCTGTTGTCCGTTGGTCACCCAGAATTCCACTTCGGGAGCATCCAACCTCTTAAGCACGGGGTATTGAAGGAGTTGCCTGCAGCCTGGATCCCTTCTTGATGGGGTTAAGTTATGTCAGATCGACCTTTGAAATCGCGAATTCGACCTAACGACCTATTGATGCTTTGCCTTGTAGCATCGGCGGCGCAGCGTGCCAACTTTCTAACTTGGTGACCCCATCACTTGCAAAGGTGACATTTCCAAAAATGTGCTGAGCTGAAAGCTACTTCTGTAGCTTTTTTGAGGTGTCCCAGTCCAGAACGTGGCAAGCACAGCGCCACACGGAAGTCAGCACTTGATGGGCGCAACGTGGCGCCTTTGAGTTGGCCCTCGTGACCTTGCCGGCTCTCTGCCAACAACTGGCAGGGTGTTCCCAGATTACGAGGCCAGTGCACTTAGACTCATCCGTCACAGCCCCCCGCAGGTTGACCTTTTCAATTGTTCTATGTTCCAGGTTTGAGCCATACTTGAAATCTTGATGGTCTCACTGAGATTTTGTTGGAACCGCTGGCATTGCAACACATCAGTAAGGTACTGTCTGGTATACCTTAGCCCTGTGAAATGTGCAGGGCAGGCAATGGCTATTGTCAATCAGGGAAGTAGCCTTTTGAGCGATGCATATTGTGATTTTCGTGATGTGGCCATATGCCCACTTATATTTCCCATTGGCCAGGACTGCCCGTGCACGCACACGCGGGCTTTGCTTTGGAAGACACCGCCGCGGCATGTGGAGGCATGCGGAGGACACAGATGGCAGTCACCGTTCCTGGGCGGACTGGAACGAGCACATCATTGGCAAGGCTCTGTGGGCTTTGGGACCACAAATGGCCTCCCCAAAAAGCCACGCTGGGCCTGGCTGTCGCAAAAAAGTAGGGTGCGACATTTTGAGGCATCGTGACGAGACATAGGGAGGCGGCTGAGCATCACCATAGTGCCTGAAGGGAGGCGGCCCGAATCATCCTGCGTGGCCAGTCATCGGGCTCTTGTGACTCACATGTCCAGATTGTGGGCCGATTTGGAGGTGCACTTTGACCCAGATTGCCCTCTGTGAGCCAGGTCCTTTGGCCAACTTTCAAGAACAGAGTGGCATGCAACAGGACCCAGAGATGCCTCGTGCCAGGCTCCGTGCGTTGAGACATGTTGACGGACAGCTCAACCTGGAGCCATCGATGCGATCCAAAAAGAGCCCCTTCGTCCGCCGGGCGCACGGGGAGGCAAAGGCGGCCAGGAACCGATGGGCGGCACGTACAGGAGCAGAGCTATTTCCACGCCAGTGCTTGAACAAAGCAAAGTTGTTGAAACAACCGCCTGGCACGTGGTTTGTACGTATTTTTTGCTTAAATGAATGGCAGCAGATGCATCGCAGGAGCCATGTTGTGCGTTTTGTTTTTGGGTTCCAGGGCTGACCATTTTCTCACATAAGTGCATTGGCTGGTTGATTTCTTTTCACTGGTTACATAGGTGCTTTATATCAATCTACCCTCCCATTTAACATGGAACCTGACTGGGGGGTCCAAGACAATGTTCTAAATTAAAGAAACACCACATCTGCCTGGACTCGAAAAGCATGCCCTTAAGCATTGGATATTGCGGCAAACTGATGGGATGCATTCCCTTGATGTCCAGGTGGTTAGCTCCATGTTGCACACAGCTCACTGATCGCTTTTCTCAGGCGCAGCTTCCGCAGCACCGGCGGCGGAGCTTTCGGCCGTCCCGGAGACGGCCAAAACGGCCGCGGGAAACCCGGCGGACACCTCGAAAGGCAAGAGAGGGGGAAAGCGAAAAGGTCTGCTTGCTGCGGAACTCGTTGTTTGCTTGTTGTGTCCTTTTTGGTTGTTTTGCTCGAAACATAGATGGGAATCGATTCCTGGTTTACCTGGCTTCATCATCTTCCAGGGAATCCCATCTATTTCCCCTAAAAGGACAAGTGTGGTTGTTCTTACCTCTTAAACACAACTTTTCAACTTTTTGGGGGTAACATGGGCTATATTATGTAAAAGATTAACTTTCCCAGGGCTTGGAGTTTTAAGGGGTAAGTGTTTGCTCTTTTACCGGCTGGATGCTCCACTGAGATTGCCCGCGGTTTTTCGCGGGGATTTGCCATCGACAACACACGCGCCGACCTCGGAGGCGGCGTCAGCGATGACGAGGATGTGCCGGATGAAGGCAAGACGTGTCCCGAGCGGTTGGAGTTGAGCTCGCCCGGATTTGTTTTGGCTTGCGACCAATCTCTCATTCCGTGATACAGGTTTTTTTGAGTTTCTCCTCATTTCCGTGTGAATGGGTGTGTTTTTCAGGGATTTTGAGCGTACCGGTTTGAAGGGACGCCAACAGGAAACCGAAGCGCATTGTGTGAGATCCCCTATTTGAGACACACCCGAATAGCATTTTGGCCAAGAATCAGAAAGCAGTTGCTTATAAAATGTGGTTTGATGGGATGCAGAAGCCCCAAGTAGTTGGTTTGCTTTTGGTAACCCTTCAACCCAACCTTCTTTCTCCCAGTTTAGACATACTCTTCAAGCAGCTTTCTGTCAACCCTTTGGCTCAGTTTGCTGAATTGAGATTTATCCAGCGGCCATAAGGGTGTGTCTTTTCGAGGGTACCTGTTTTGGTTGTTTTAAAGTGAAGCTAAAAGAACCACTGAAGCCATGTTGGGCATCCTCAAAAAAATGACGAGCCACCCGTCTGTGTTCCAAGTGCCTGCGAAGCTTCAGCTTTGTCGAGTCGAGAGCTGCTTACAATGAGCAAGGAGTGCCTTGAGTCGGCGAAGTGCCGGCACCACTATCTGGTTTGCTTTGGAGCCAGAGAAGCGTCCATTTCAACTTACATTTTGAGTGGTTTTGATTTCGCGCAGTGTACATAGTCACAGGCACGTTTTTGCGCATGTCCTCGGAGCTCATGCGTCTATTCTCAGGCAGTTTGACAAGAATGCATCTTTCTGGGGTTGTGGGACATCCCGGTAACTAACTCACGCTAGCTGAATCTCAGGTTGACATGTGCAGTCTTGGACCAAGTCAGCACACATGGCACTTAGCGGGTGTGCTTATCATGTGCCAGCGTGCGTGCAGCCTGACGTCATGCGCGTCATCGGAGGTGCTTATCATGCACCAGCGTGCGTGATGCGCGTGCAGCTTTGATGTGGTGCGAGTGAGCGGGTGCGCCTATCATGCGCCAACTCGCGCGCAGCTCTGACGTGACGCGCGTGAGCGGCTGTGCTTATCATGTGCTAGCGTGCGCGCAGCTTTGACGTGACGCGCGTGAGCGGGTTTGCTTATCATGCGGCAACTAGCGCGCAGCTTTGACGTGATGTACGTGACAGGGAGTGCTTGTCATGTCCCAGCATGCGTGCAGTTTTGACGTGATGCGCGCGCCAGCGTGCGTGCAGCTCGGACGTGATGCGCCTGAGCTGGTGTGCTAGCGTTCGTTTAGCTCTGACGTGATGCACGTGAGCAAGCAGGTGTGCAGGGGTGGAAGCCACTCGGACATGCGGGTGGGTAAATACCCGGTACCATTTATTGTTAGTTGGTTTCGTGGAATTTTTGTCCACTTAACCTTCTAAAACTTAGTCACTTCTAGTAGAAAATCTGAAAACGGACAGCCCAGATGAACAACGCCCTTTACATAGAGGCCTGTCCCATTCCAGGCATGCTTGACTTGGAGGAAGCAATCACCCCCCACCAAAACAACAAGGTTGATCTGAATGCCCGCGATAAACTTGCGTCGGTGCCCCTAGTAACGTTGGCTCGGTTGAAAGGTGACATCTTTGGTGCATTTTGCTTGGATGTGAGGACTTTAACATTTTGCCATCTAATGGGTTTCCATTAAACCACTAAAAGTTAAACTTTGAGCAGGGGAGCAGAAAGCAACCGAGACATAGCTGGAACCTTCACTGACCCAAGTTGGAAGCTGAAGAAAGCCACTTGCCTCGGCTCCAGACTCAAGAGATGCCCTTTCCATAATATATTGAGGGGTGTTCAAATCGCTATCCCCAACAGCCCTCCGGAACCGCATCTCCGGAACCGAATCTTCTTTTGCACCCCTGAAAGGTGGCACAAAGCACCAACCACAGCTGATGGCAGAAGCCAAATCCGCTGACTCAGCTGAGCCACAATCAAAACCCGGGTAAGTGAAGGTCAGTAAGGGACGATCCCAGCCATAAAAGCTGCGGCCGCCTTCTTAGTTGTTGAAGAATGGTTCTGGGTCGACCATTTTTGTACCGGGTTTTGATTGTGACTCAGCTGGGGAAAAGGGGCCCTTTGTTGCCCACCACTTCTTTGGTGCATTTTGCTTGGATGTTGGGACGTTAACTTTTTGCCAACTAATGGGTTTTCCATTAAACCACCACTAAAAGTTAAACTATTAGCAGGGGAGCAGAAAGCAACCGAGTTTCTTGGTGGCTCCCAGCCATCCCCTCAGGCTTTTTGGTTGTAAGTTTGTTGAGTGGTTGGGTTTCCATTTTAACCGGGGATTTCCGAGAGAGGGTGCCCTTTGTTGCCCACCACTTGCCTTCTTCGCCAGGAGTGAACCACGCCTCCACGGCCGCGCTGATCAACTCAGCCGCGGAGTACATGAACCGGGCGCGGGAGACTAGGGGCGGAGAGGGGGGGGGCGAAGGAGGGGTTGCGGCACATGAGCCATGATGAAAAAGGGAGCACAGGACCTTCAGTGTATTGGGGGGTTTGGATTGCCCTTGCAAATTTCCCTCAATGTGGTTTCAATCATCATGTGTTTGCCATTTCAAGCTGAATGTGTTGGTTCATGTGTCCAGACGAAGCACTTCACGGTTGGATCATTTTTCTCCAGGGTGTTGTTTGGTTCTGTTCATCTGTGGGCAATTCAGAAGAAGAAGAGACTTGCCACACTCGATAGGTTTTTGGCCAATCATTGCAAAGCTTTGGAAAGGGAGTCCGGTATTCGGCTACACGATGGTATAAGCCTCGAAGGCCTCTGGATTTACGTGGCCGGCGGGCTGTACGGCAAGGAGGAAGTCATGGGCGGCGTCCCTGGTTTTGGAACCTCGCCTCCTCCGTATGCTGAGTTTCCCTTGGTGAATCTATGGATTCTGAATATCCCTTGGTGAATCTATGGAGAAATTAGGAGCCCTGGTTTGTTTCCCTTGGTGACAAGGAGACCCGGACCTTCCAACGTACCTGAAATGTCTGCCTCCCCTGTCAGTCTCTTTTTTTTAGGGTAGGATGTCAACCCCTGACTACAAAGGCAGGTATTTACCCAGGCAAACCTGGTCTTTCAATAAATCGAATTTAGGAGCCCTGGTTTGGGGCGACTTGTTTCATCACTCCCTGAGTTCCGTTTCAGACTTGATCGTCACTGGGTTTGGACCATTTAAGTGGGAAGCAAAAAATAGGTTTTGCTTTTTGTTGGCCAGTCCACTCGATCGTAAGTGAGACTCTGAAAAACAGCCTTGACTCTACGCATTAGAGTTGCCTGAAATGCAGCCCCCCCCCCGTCTCCCAATGAGTGGTTCGGTTTGCCTTAAACGGGGAATCCCTTAAACAAAAAGCAGCATGTGGGGGTTGATCAATATTCCGTTCGGCCCCCAACTGACCCGTGGCGTGTGGGGAAAGAAGTTCTTTTTTTCTCGGCGGTTTCCTTTATGATCATCCCATGTTAAGCACCTTTTGATCAACCCCCACGTCATTGTGTGGTTTCCCTCCTCTCTGGCAAATCGCTCGCAGGCAGACTACGAGTCTGCTTTGTCCATCTACAACTATGTCCTGCCAGCATGGATTGAAGCAAGCCGGGAGCGTCAGGTGGTCAGGGTCTTCACAGTCTTGCGTCCAGATTTTCTGGACTTTGGCAAGCTTTGGGAACGCCATTTGTGTGGTAAACAACAAGTTGTCTCTGGCTAATCTGGTCAGGAAGTGAGCTTCGTTTAGCCAAAATGGGTCACTTGAAGCAGCCACGGGATCACACCCGCACTCATCAAACCCATCTCTCGATTGAGGCACACCGAGATAGCCATAAAATGCAGGAAACGGTCAACACGGAGACTGGACAAGCACAGCACCGACATCGGTCTCAGACCTTGATTTTTTGCAGCTCGTACTCAGAGGTGTCCCTTTGATAAGTCAGTTTGGTAAGAAATAGAAGGGTTCCACTGGTTTAGAGGGGTTCTATGCATCTACCAGGACGTAACCCATCGATTCTGTCGAACACTAGGTCCCCCAGTAGTGCCCGTTTACCCGTTTTGGGGGAGGGTTGCCCCTACTAAAATAGACTACAGAAAAAAGGGCACCCATATTCTATCCTCTCTACTGGAGGACCTAGAACATGTCCCCCATGGTTGTACTTTGTGACGGATGATTTGATTGGAGCTTTGCGTTTGTGGTGACCTTGTCGAGGATCGCCAAGCTGAACTCCGCAAATGTACACCCTAACATCTGGGCGCGAGTGGCATGCCCTCAAAACGCACCCAAAAGCAAACTTTCACACTTTCTTGGGATCCTGTGAGGCGTACATTACAGGAGTGGACTCTTGATGTGGTATCCCAACTTGCCCCTTTTGCCTCTTAGTTTCCCCCCTAGATTTTCCTGTTCCAGCAAAGCGTGTTCACCTTTTTCCCGCCACTGCGTCCTTCGCCAGCGCAAGCCCCCGGCGCTCGCGGCGTGCTTCGCGCCTTCTGCGCGCCAGGCGCGGCGGACGTGCAAGAGCTGGGAGTCGCCGATCTTGGAGCTCAAGGCGGCCTGAGCCGATTCTTGCGTCCGTCAGAGGAGCGACACCCTAGGAATGGGAGGCCGAGGTTTGCAACACGCCCTCTGCATGTCCGGAATGCAAGGAGTGCGGAAACAGTTTTTTTTGGTGCAGGTGTTGCTTTTTTTTGGCATTGTTCAGCGAGTGGGCCTTTTTGCGTTGAGCGGCGGAGACGAAATATGGCCATGGGTCAAAACCAATGGTACCATTTTGTAGGTGCATCACCCATTTTAATCTATTTTAGTTGGGATTGGGATGTTCACTGGGGGTACGGGGTTTTGACCCACAGCCATATGAGTTGTTTTTTGTATCACTCAAGACCTTTTCATACTGTGGTCTGTGGCCACTAGGGTCAGGGAAACAACCGTGGTGTTGGCATATTTCTTGGAGAGCTGCCAACCGCGTTGCGTGTTTACTACGATACCAGAGGGTTATCGTGATCAATGGAACCCCCGGATCCAAGCAAAACAGGCTTTGGGAGCGTCCCCCCGGTATGAAAAAGGACGGGTCACTTCCAATCAGGTCCGAGGATTGATTCCTTTGATGCAGACGGGCGCCAAGAAATCAGAGGTCCAGATGAATTGAGGCAAGTCCCAGTCTAAAATTGCGGCAGGTTTCACACCAGGGGTTGACATTGGCTCCTGATTAAAATGCGAAGGGAAACAACAAGCTACCCGAAACCCGTGGCCATTGGGGTCTCTGCTTTTTGGGCGGGGAGAAAATTCCTGGAACTGGAGGTCTCGGCTTGGGGTTCGAGAAGAATCGGGATCGGGAAGTTCAGAGCAGCTCCAAACAAATTGTCCCCGGCTTCGGCCTAGACACCTGTCTCCTTTTTTGGGGAGGCTACCCTTTTTGGAGTGTTTTTTTGTTTTTTAAGGGGAAGCCAACAGGAGAAGCGTTGCGCCAGTTGGGTCCCCCAAAAACAAGGCCGTGACGCACCCAAACAGAGGGACGACTTGTCGTTTTCAATGACTGGCAGTGGAAATCTCGGGGGGGTGGGTGGGGTCCTAGAACCCAGGCATAGGGAAGCCTCGGATCCCGGATGGGATTGGATTCTTTTGCACCAAAAGGACAAGGCTGGCGGATGGGTTCAAGGCCTTGGAAGAAGTGGTTCAAGGGGCTCAGGTTTCTCTGCCGGATCTGTTGCCCTAATCTTGCTGGTTCGCTAGGCAGGGTCCCTCAGGAGCTTTTTTAGAAAACCATCCAGGTGGTTTCCTTCGAAGGAGTCCGCAAGACCTCACTCCAACACCCAGTCATTCCCTGCTTGGTGCGTACGTGAATCCCAGTCTTGCTCACTTGCAAAGTTTCCCAAATGTTGAATGGGACTAGCGGCTTTTTGAGGAAGGTCCGTATTTTTGTGGGCCACATGTTGCACACCTCGGGGACTTTTGTTTGGCCAATCAAATCTCAGAAAGTGAGCCCGCGAGTCTCAAAATTAGGTTTGGCTTCTGGGAAGGATTCTTTACTGAGCTCCAAGGGATTGTGTTTCAGCTTGTTTGGGGAAACGGAAGACCCGGTCAGACCTAAAATTAATATGGCATTGTTTCCTACAATGAGGTTGTGGGGTACTTAAAAGACGCACCATGTCAGACGTGGTTCCCAGCCATCCCCAGAAAGTGTTTTGGGTTTTTAGTTGGTTTTAGTTGGTTTAGTGGTGGCTTCCACACCACCAACAGTTGTCGACTTTTAGCGGGGAGGGAACAGCCCAGCAGTATGGGTCTTGGAGGTATGGAAGTTGTATGGCTGTGGGTCAAAAATAGGGCAACCCCAAAATGGATCCCTAGATGGAACCATTCCCAAAACCTGCGGTCTGATTCCTGGGTTAATTTTGACCCATGGCCCATGCCCATATACCAGTGGAGAATCAAAACTAAAGAGGCAGGGTTACGCGGGTTATAATCTTTGGTTCCATTTTGTGAGGTGCCATATTGGTACGTGTTTTTGACCCACTGCCATATACCATATACCCTAACAGTTGTCGACTTTTATCTGATCTGGGAAGAGTAGTATGGGTTTTGGAGGTATGGAGGTTATACACCAGTGCATAAATCCAACATCGACGGGTTTTTCGTTGGAGCAAAGGCCGAGTTTCAGCTTTTCCGTAGGTGCTAAGCAACAGCTCCCTGTGCCTCCAGAGACTGCGGGGTCGGCTGCCACAGCTGCTGCAGGCGGGAAACGGGAAGCGTTGAGTCATTGGGGCGGGGGGGAGGGGGCTTGGATCACAAACACTCCTTGAAGAAAGTGTCCACTAAGTGTTCGTTCTGGCCTTGTTTGGCCTTATTGGGCCGTATTGCACCCAATTTGGCCATATATTTGCCTTATTGCGCCTTTTTAGGCCGTTTAGGCCGTATCTTGCGCCTTGTTGGGCCTTATTTGGCCTTATTGGGCCTCATTGCGCCTTATCCTTTCTTGGCGATTGAGGCTTCCCGCCTCATCTTTGGGGGGCCACTCTTTGGGGTCTTTGGGGGAATGGCCAGGGTCGCTACAGGAGGAATTGCGTGGTCAAACTTTGCCCCCCAACCCCGGTCCGCTAACCTTTTAGCTACCCCCAGGCCAGTTTTTCCGATGCCCCCTTACTCTCCTCCGTTCTTGCAATCAAGGATCCCAGGCAACTATCACTTCAAGCATCGCTCGCTGAATTTGTGCAACTGAACCTCTCACTTCATTCAAAAAACCGTCAGAGCCCAAGTTGTGCGGGTTTAAGGGGATATGCTTAAGAATATGTTTAATCATCCCTTGTTGGTTTTAAAAGGAATTTATTATTACTGGATATTTTTTCATTTTTCCAGGGGCTTAAGCAAATGGAAGTTTGTGCATGAGCCGCTCTTTTCCGGGGCGCTTCTGTCCGCTTGTTGGCAGCCTAGGTGTGCAACGACACCTTGTGCCGCATCCGGGAGATTCGCGAGGATGGCGAGAGCCAGGAAGCGGATTGGACATGGCGAGGTCTAGCGAGGGTTCGCATTTGACCCGCCTTTTGGGGACAAATATATATATATATATATATATACATATATATATATATGTATCTATGCATACAATAACAAATACAATATATACACAAGTATGCATTCCTGCTACTCCAGCATCCTACAAAAAAGCGGTTCCAAAACAAACCTGGATTTTGCTTTTGGGGGATAAACTGTGTTTCTGTGTGTCTGTGTGTGTGTGTGTCCCTCTGTGTCTCTCTGTCCCTCTGTGTCTGTGTCTGTGTGTGTTTTTCCGGGAGCCTTTTTCAGATTGCTTTCAAGGGAAACCAAAAGGACCAAAACAGGGTCAACCAACTCTTGATTGCAACGCCCCCAAACTGGTTGGTGGACATAACTTTACACAAGTCCCCAAGTTTATGTTCACAGGGTCTACAAATAAATGAGAAGCTGACTCCCCGAAAACCCTTGGACTTTCGTCACTTTTCGGGAAGACCATTTTGGTGGCAAACAATATCAAGGTAAGAGGACTCCCACAATTTGAGGGGGTCCCATCTTTTCTAAAAAGCGGGCTTCAAAAGGCAGACGTTTGCACAATCGAAATCGCTCACTCGTGTATTTGGCTTGACTGATTTCACCCATGATGAAGGTTGCTTTGGGGAACATGCATGTCAGGCCGGTGAGCGGCAATCATTTGCCCAGATCTTCGGAGATGTGAAGCTCCCAGGTTTTTCCTGAATCCTGTCTCAAATGCATTACCAGTCAAGTCGGGTCTGGGATGTCAAGAGGGATGTGAACAAGTTCCTAATTTTGGCTTCAGGTTGGAATCCCCAAAGTGGCAGTGGCCTTGCGACGAAGGCGGCAGAGTTCACCGAGCGGCGAGTGGTTCACCAGGAGCTGCTACTGCTGCGGATGGAGGCGGCTTGCCTCTCCCGGCGCGGCAGCCACTTGCTACAGAATGGAGCGGGGGAGGGCAGGAGGGCCAAGCGCGGGTGCCAGGCGCGGGATTCCAGTTTTGCTTTTCGGAGAAATCATTGCCATGGAGCGTTCCGCAGAAGCCACAAAGTTCCGCATAAGCGGCACCTCTAAATTCGTCTCGCCTTCTTTGCTCAAAACGGTCAACCCAAAAAGGCTCACGATTTCAACTTTGGTGCATGTTGCTTGGATGTTACTGTTAGGACTTTAACTTTTGCCAACTAATGAGTTTCCATTAACCCACTAAAAGTTAAACTTTTAGGAGAGGATCAGAAAGCAACCGAGTCAACATAGTAAGCATGGGTTAGCTCTTTACCACTTGGTCAGTCACAAGTTCCGGCTGGCAAAATACTATATAACGCCTTTTCGGACCTTCAAAACACGCCCCCTGGGCATCCCCAACCCCAGAACAAGAAACGGGCGTTGACTGCTCTTGCCCAAAGGTGCTCCCACGAGTCAGGGGGAGCGCTCGTTTGCCTCGGCCAACAAAGCGAGTTTTGGGTCACGTTTTAAACAGGGCCGAAGTGGTTTGCTCAATGAAGCTAGCCCCTTAAACGAGAAGATGGTGAGGTAACACCGCCAAAAATAGGGTAACACCGCCACAGCACGCTCTCCTTAAACGAGCTCATGAGTTCTCACAGCTGGCAAGGTTCCAAATCCCGGGCGTTGATCCAACCTTCCGCTCCGGGACATGGCGGTTAGAAGCCCCCCTCCCCTGTCAGCTACTCCATATTTATCACTAGATAGCAAAAAGTCCAAAGCAAAGGGAAAAAGTGGATGGGAGTTAGCAGGAAGTCCACTAGCGCCGATAAACATCACCTCCACCAGATGCGTTTCCACCAGTCGCAGCTGATTTGCCGCTGAGGTGCCTTTGCCCAGCAGAGGAAGGCCGAAGAGAGCGCGCAGGACCGGGGGGCAGTTTCTGATCAAAGGCGGGAGGTCTTTTCAGCTGCCCTTTGACCGTTTCTTTTTTGAGGGAGCTCACGGGTAAAACTAGCTCACCGGTTCAGTTACCACCATTAAAACCATGCTTGCGCTCATATTTAACTGCCGTGACTTCCTAAGGATTGTCATCATCCAAATTGGGTGAACCATTATTTTCTAGGTCCCCCAGCTAGGTGCCCTTTCTCACCGTTTCGTTTTTGGTTGGGAGGGTTTCCCTACTAAAATAGACTACATACAAAGTTGGTACCCTTATTCTAAGCTCTCTACTGGAGCAAACGCGAAGAAAGTACTTTCATTAAGAAGAAGCATCCGACAGGAGCCCACGTAAACCGCGTTCCCAGACAGGAACCCAGTTTTGGTGGGTATCAATAATCATTTTGCTGGGACAAGGCCACGAAGAGTGGCTGGGTTTAAAAAGCCCCAAAGAAACATGTTTTGTTGCCGTGCTATAGGAGGAACCCTGATTTTTTTGTAGGTTCAAGGGAAGGGTCAGAAGTGCTGGCGGAGCCAAGTAGAACCCAAACTGTTTGCTTGAAGTGGGGAAGGTGAGGCGTAGAGGCTTGCTTCAAGGGGTTCGAAACACTCCCGGGCCCAGAAATCGGCATCGGGGTGAGTTCGGGAAAAAGAAAAGACGCCTCCCACCACCATCCCGTTGTGTGTTGGATCATTTAGGTCCTTGTGAAAACATGAGTTGCTTTGGGCACAGAAGTTTCACATCCAAGATGCGCCTTGCGGCAGCGTTTCAACTGCGTTCGGAGATGTATCAGCAGATGAACTCGTTGCATCAGGGAAGCACAGACGAGCAGGTCGGGATGGGGGGCGTCTACTTGTTTAGTTGCTAACGAAGTCTTGTGTGCGTCTTCCGGAGAAACAATAAAACAAAAGCAAATCTTCCGTTTGCTTATTTTTGTTCTCCCCTTGTTGGTTTTAAAAGGAACTTATCACTACTGGGAATATATATATATATATATATATATATATATATATATATATTTGCAGGGGTCTTAACCAAATGGAAGTAACCGCCCAGTGCTTGAAGAGCTGGTTTTCGAAGACGCGTGGGGTGACACCTCGGCATCTACTTGGACCCAACTTCTGTGCTTGGCAAGGCCCAGGCGAGTGAACTGGTAGAGCACGAATCCAGGGCCTGGGTAACTTCCATTTCCATTCTTTCCAGGGATCCTTCTTTCCAGAAAACCACCACAAACCCTGGGGAAATGGATCGATCGGTTGTTGAAAAGAACGATGGCTGAAAAGAATGGAAGAGGAATCAACCCCTAGAACTAACCAGTCAGCGATTCCTTCGGGCCCAGGTGAAAAACCACGAGAGATGGCATGTGGGTATGGCTCAAAATTAAAGAGTTGGGGTTGCGCGGCTTTTTGTCTTTGGTTCCATTTGCCAAGGTGTCATGTTGGGATTCCACTTTTTTGAGCCACAGCCATGTGGAAAAACCACAGCAAACCAGAATGGGGCTGTGCAAGCCCGATGGAAGAAAAGAGCGAGCTCTCCGTGGGAAATGGTTGGAAACCTCTCTCCTTGCGGGGACAGGGCCAGTTCTGCGAACATTTGTGAAAAGCATGGCTTGGATCGGGGGTTTGGTGTTTTTTTTTTGAGGGTTCCGCATCTACACTCCGCAAGAACCACAGCTTCAAACCCGAATCCAAACCACAAATCTAAGCCACCAACTTGGGGTTACGCTGAGCCGTTGAAGGTTAGGGATAGGCCCAAGCAGAAGGTGCAGATTTTCGCCCTGCCTATTCCTTGAGAATGATTCTAGGTCCCCCCAGTAGTGCCCTTTTACCGTTTCCTTTTTTGGGGCATGGTTCCCCTACTAAAGTAGACTACAGAAAAAAAGGGTACCCTTATTCTAACCTTTTTACTGGAGGACCTAGAAGGGGCTGAGTAATGACACACTTGGCTGGAATGTACAGAAACCCCGTTCTAATGATTTAGACCCTTATGTCATACCCGGTCTGTTCCAAGAGGTTGATGGACCAACCTAGTTGATGTTGAACCAGATTCCTTTGTTTGAACCACCAATGTTGGTTCACGCCATCCGTTTACCACATGGCTGGAAAACAAGAATAGACGTTTGGTCGATGAAGGAAAACAAAAAACACCAAGTCAACATTATTCTGGGTGGTCGTATGAATCTGCGTGCCAGTGATGTGCCAGTGCTAAGAAACCTTAATATCGGTATTAATATAGGGGTTGATTCCTCATTCTTTTCAACCATCGTTCTTTTCAATCACCAGCCGTTTTCCCTCAGATTCCCTTTCGGTTTTCTAGAAAGAAGGATCCCTTGATTCAGAATGGAAATGGAAGCTACCCGTAGAATTGAGGTTTCAGGCCCCCCCCTTTATGGATCCAAGATTCCGAAGTCCACTCCGGGAAAACTCGAGAACCCCCCCTGTTATCTTCCCCAGAATTAGCTCCCCTTTTTGTTTTTTCGTTTTCCACCAACCAGGCAAAAAAGAACAACCCAACTCCACAGCTACCCTTTCCAACAAACATTGGGCTGTCTTCCCCTGGTATCTTTCCACTAGCTACCCTTTCTTTGCTGGGGTCCGATTTTTGCAGCCTTATGTCTGAACTCAGGATGCGGCGCGGGTCAAGGAGCTCCTGGCACAGGTGGCGGAGCTGGAAAAGGCGGGGAGAGATTCCGACGTCGAGGTCCGTTTCTTTGGGGCTGCTTAAAAGATCTCCATGTCTCACTTCCTGAGTTCATGAACTTTTTGAGCTTTTTGGGTTTGGACCATTTCAGTGGTAAATAAAAAGGTTGGTTGCTTTTTTTGGGCCATCCACTCAGCCAGTGAGATTTTGCTCGAAACCATTTCAAGCATGTTGCTTTTTCAACACCAACATAAAGAAAGGGAACCCACCATTTACAAGTTGCAATGTTCGATCGGTGTTTTTCATGTAAGGATACTGTTGCGACCCCCGAGTTGTTTGTTCGATCTCTCCGTTTCTTGGCTCCCAGCCACCCGGTTCCTGAGCATCTGAGACTTTTTTGGCTTTAGTGGGAGTTTCCATTTAACCCACGAAAAGTTAAACCTTTAGCGGGGGATCTGAGGGCCCAGATTTGCTGAAATGAATCGTTTGAATTTTCCCTGGTTGGTGTTAAAGGCAATCTATCACCATGCTGGAAATATGTTTTTGTGTTGTTGTCGTTTTTTCTCCAGGGGCTGAAGCAAATGGAAGATCTCCAAACCAACTTAGCGATGAATTCTGGGAGTTGGCACCAGCTACCAGTGGTTGATGGTTACCTGAGTCCCCCACTGAGTTTGGATGTCCACCAAATGGTCCCTAATTAGCACTTTCGACCATTGCGTACTTCGGGCACGATGAAGCAGAATCTGCACATGCATCTTGGTACCCCAACTGTGGGCCAAGTGCTTCTGGCTGCATTTCGATTGGCTGGCAACTAGTGTTGGGAGTTGTTTCCTTTTAGAGTTGTTCCATATTGGGCTCTTCACTCTACTTGTGGGTCCCGCTTCTTTGAGAATCTTGCTCGGGAGCGTGATGTGTGTTGTTTTGACCAACTCAAAGTTTGCGGGACGGGTCAGTTCCAAGCTTTTTCTGGCTGTTTGCGGGATAGGAAAGACACGCCGACCCCATAGTGGTTCAAGTCATTGTGGACAATGCGAACCGGCGAGCCCAAATCTATATGTGCCCCCATGGTTTTGGGGTACTGAACACACAGTGAGGGTGCATTTGGGGGGGACTGGGGGTGTCATTTTTTGAGGGCACCCCTCTTGGTCTTGCTTTGAAGTGACGCCAAAACGCGAATGACCCAGCGGTTGCCCTATCTTGAGCAAGCAGAACTTGATTGGGCTTTCGTCACATCTTTGCCCTTTACTATACATGTTTTCTCTTTAGTTTGTTGGTGAATATCAATCCGCCCGTAGGCTAGGTGTCGTTTTTTTCTATTTGAATGAACTTGTAGACCAGATATTCAAGTCCTAGGTGCAGGGTTGAACATTGACCAAGATATTGCTGCGAAGCCTCCCCGAAACCGCCTCCCCAGCTAGGACCTTTTGGTATCCTGTTGGTTTCTCTGCGATTCCCTTCGCATTTGCCGCCTATGCCCTTCGATGCCAATGGCCTGGTCGGCGTCTGTTCGGTTCCTGGGGGTTCCGGGGCTGTTGAGTCCCGATACCGGTGCTCACTTGTTTGTTGGCGCCCATCCCGTCATCTTTGGGTTTCCTAATGAAAGCTTAGATCACTGGTGCATGGATATAGGAAAAGAGATAACAACATATACTTGAATGAAATATGTCTAATCACATTCATTGGTGTACCACCGGTTGCCCAAACGCATCTCTCTTGGTGTCTGGTTGCCCACTGCCCCGTCCCGTATCCCAGGCCTAGCGCTGACACCCCGCACGTTGGCTCCAAAGGAGGGCCAGGGCAAGCGGAACTTAGTGGTCAGTGCAGCCAATGCGGGGAATAGAAGACTAGGTCCCAGTAGTGCCCTGAAAACAGTGTTTTTTTTTTTGGGGGGGGGGTCCCCTACTAAAATAGACTACAGGAAAAAGTTGGTACCAACTTATTCTAACCTCTCTAGTGGAGGACCTAGAAGAGGTGAATTGAGTACTACGAGTTTACCCCTATCATGACCTTGAAATTAGTTTTAAGATCGCCACAACCTCGCACCGCAAAATGCAAATTGTTTACCATGGGTCTTAGACGCCTTACTGAAGACTTTTGGTGGCCCCCCCCCCCAACAGATCCAAACAAACGGTGATGTTTCTTCAGGTATCCCTTTTTGGAGCAGTTTTACAGGGCCGCCAGAGGGAAACCCAGCATATGATGAAACACACACACATGAATGGTTGAGGTTTCCGAGTATCCGCCAGCAGTAAAACCGCCATTGGTTCTCTTGTTTTGGTGTGAAGGCTGCACGGAGCCTGCTGTGGAGCTTCGCGAAACAGGGCGGGTGACAAAATGGTGACCCCGTTTTGCGGCGACAACCCCGCTAGTAGCAGCAGAATCTGACATCAACGTTTACTCGCTGCCAACTTGTGTTGTCCCCATGAGCTTTCAGGTGAGCCACAATCAAAACCAGGGTAGATGAAGGTTAGTAAGGGACGATCCCAACCATAAATAGCTGCGGCCGCCTTCTTAATTCCTTACATGGTTCTGGGGATCGACCATTTTAGTACCAGGTTTTGATTGCAACTCAGCTGGTTGTTGCGAAAATAGCAGGTTCCTGCGGATTGTTCGTATCCCCCACCAGCGGTGGGTGATGGAATGTTCTCCCGAAGAAGGTGACTTGGGATAAGCACAGCACCTGATGACCTACTAGATTGCTGACCGGAAGATGTCATGTAACGTTTTCAAGATTATTTTTGGCATTGAGATGTGGAAAAGACTCAATCTCTTCTGTTCTTAGTGTTCTTTGGTAACTTGCGCCAGAGGAGAACAAAACAAACAATTATCTTTCCCCTCCCCAATATAAGCAAACAATGGTGTAGGTTCGATTCTCATTAATGTTTTGTTTAATGATGTCTTCTTGGCATTTTTATCTGACTTGACCTTCGCATGGGCTACACTGGCTCCTTGCTCGGCACGTCAAAAGGTGCACGGTGCACGGCGAATTCACGGCGATTTTTCGCCACGTAGGCGAAAAGGGCTGCGGCTTGGCTGCGGAGTTCTTTGGGAGAGCGAGGTTCAGAAGGATAGGAGTCTGTTTGAGAGCCCTCCATTTGCTTAAGCATATATTTGACTTCCCCCTGTTGGTTTTAAAAGGAATTTATCACTACTGGAAGCATTTTTTTTATAATGTTTTCCTGGGGCCTTAACCAAATGCAAGGAGCTGTTTGGTTGAAAATGGATGGCACTGGTTTCAGTTGCGTTCCAGTGATTTAGATTTACCAGTTCCGTCCATTGTTCAAGGACAGCTATGCGCAACAGCTGGTGGGTATGTGTGAAAATCTCAAAACACCAAAACAGTATGGTTGACCTTTTGCTTTTCCAAGCCAACCGTCAACGGGTCGGAAACTTAACCACAAATCCAAGTGGCATACAATTCTAGGGGTACCTTCCCCATGCTTTCCAGGCATCCTTCTTTCTATAAGCCACCCAAATCCCTGGGGAGACAGCGCTCGGTTTTTGAAAAGAACGATGGTCGAAAATAATGGACAAGGAATCAACCCCAAGAATACCCCTCTTCGCAGAACCAAAGGTAGAATCGGTGAGGCGAGGAACAAAACCCGAAAAAATCCAAGTGAGCCCCAAAGAGGGACCCCCCTCAAAACGGCCACCAACAGCTGCCCCTCCGGCCTTATTAGCGGCCATTCGCCCCTATCGTTTGTTTTGGGCCCCCTGACAAGCATAGGAGAAGCGTGCCCCAGAAATGGTAGGCTTCACCCCCCTGTCATGAGGTGAACAACGGTGCATGCTGCTTATTTGTGTTAGCACCCATTGTTTTCATGGTGCCCGCTTGGGTTATAACCGTGGTTATAACTGGGGCAACTGGGGTTAGTCTCTATTATGGTTTGACTCGAAGTCCCAGAGAAGGCAGGAGATGCAAAACAAAGGTCTTCTAAAAAGGTTCATACTGCATACCGAGTGGATTGAACACCCAAGCAGAGAATCGGTGAAAGACAGGGCAGCCCGAACCTGGCAGACTTCAAGCCCCCGTCAGGCCCTGCGCGTGCGTCTGGCTGCAGCAGAGGCCGGAGATGAGCGAAGGGGCCAGTCACCGCTACCCTCGGGCCCTCAAAATGGGTGCATTTGAGGGGTGTTCAAACAGGGTCATTCTTTGCTTTGGTGCATTTTGCTTGGATGTTAGGACTTTATCTTTTTGGGAAACTAGTTGGTTTTCCATTAAACCACTACAAGTTAAAGTTTTAGCAGGGGAGCAGAAAGCAACCGAGTCTTGACTGTGATCAAGGTTATAAACTGGGGGTGTTTCCCTCAACCCACCACTGAATGGGGCGACTTTGACAATGGTGAAAGAATGATGCCAGTCAAAAGTACTTTGTCTTTGGGGTTTCCTTCCCACGAACCTCGGTGGTATATAGCCCATAATCCTTTTTGTCCCAAAAAGAGCGCCCGAAGAGCATGCTAAGAGCACGAGGTATGGCAGCAAACCTCATTTTTTCTCGGAGCTTGCTCTGGGCCCTATCTCCTTAGTTAAACAAATAAGCTATAATATACGCCCCTAGAAGGGACCTCTAAACACAACTAAGATTGTATACAATCTCACATAAAGGCCGAAACAACTAGAACGGGGTTGCACGATACTTGGCAAGGGCTGGTTATGATTGGAGCAGAACACTATTCGTACTTCTTTCACCCCATAGAAGAAACTCGAGGTGACAACCCGGAAAGCAAGGTTCCCTGCATTTGTTATTTTTGTGGTTTTAAGACCTCACCTTTTGTGTCCACTTAAAGCGATCTTCCCTCTGGGATGTGCAAAAGGGATGTATCGGGAACCTTATGTTCAGAGGACCCGGGCCTCTTCAAATTCTCTATTTCGGGTTGGTTTGGGACCCACAGATGAGACCATCCCCAAAAAAGCATCCAGCAGTCTGCAGGGAATTTCGGGACTGTACAGGATACATTTTGGCCTGTTCAGCAATCACCCAAACACCGGCTGATTTAGCGGATCCTCTTGTGAACCAAATGCTTTTTGGACGCATCCTTTGATGTATTTTCTGGACACGCTACAACGGCCTGAATACTTAGAATGGGGTTGTGGGGTAGTTTAATGCTGGATTGAGCCAGAATCATGGAAGAACGATGTGGGTCCATCTTTTTGTAGGGAAACCCTTTTTGGGTTTTCAACAGACACCAACAAACAGACCGCCACTTCGGGGGGTCCGAATCCCAACAAAGACGAGCCCCGAAAGCAAAAACCCGGGCAGCAACTCCCAAAGCAACGCCCGAGTGGCTCGTTTTTCAGGCGCGGCTGGCTGCCACGCATCATCAGGAGGAGTCCCTTGGATCTGAGTGATTTACATTTTTGAGTTGGCCTGTGTGTTGTTTGCGTTTGTGCCGCGTTTATTATCTTTTTTCTGTTTTTGTTATGGTAGTTGTTTGGGTCTTAAAATGAGCCCTTGGTGTGTTTGTGGTTCATCCTTTGTTCCCTCCAGGACCAAACTGAATCAATCTGACCAAGCTTCGACCTGCGGGCACGTGTGATCGACCAGGGCCCAAGAGATCCCGCCGATCAATGGGGGAGTTAGGCTTGTTTGTTTGTTGCGGGGCAGTAGGGCCCGACTTAGGTCTTGAGACCAAATGGCATGGAACCTGGTAACCTGATTTTCGGGTCCCAAAATCAGGTTCCATGTTAGTTGGTGGGAGGGTAGGCTAGGTCCCCAGTAGTTTCCTTTTACCCTTTTTTTGGGGGAGGATTCCCCTACTAAAATAGACTACAGAAAGAATCGGGCACCCTTATGCTAACCTCTCAAATGTGGAGGACCTAGTAGGGGATTCAACCTTAGAACAACTGGTCAGTTGAGCCACAATCAAAACCCGGAAGACTAGTAAGGGACAATCCCAACCATGAATGCCTTCGAAATTCTTTGCATGGCTCTGAGTGGACCATTTGAGTACCGACTTGGGAGCTGACTGCACTTAGGCTGAGAGAGATGGAGGCGCCAGGGATTGGGGGGCATCTCTGCCATTTCTTGGTGGCGACTGGCTCGCCATCCGGTTCCTGTTCGCCTTTTCGCCTTCGAGTGTTTAGTGGTGGTTTCCATTTGACCCACTAGAAGTTCAACTTTTAGCGGGGGATCTGAGGGTTCTGTCACAATCGAGAAGGACTTCCCTCCGTTAAAAAAAAAAAAGAGTGTTTGGGCCATAGGTCCCTCTGCCCAGTCCGGGCAGAAATCCGGACATATTCCGGTGTTCGTGTCCTGCTTTCTTTTGCCGAAACGCGGGTCTTGAACGCGGGTAGAACGACCGGTGGTTAGCCACCCTCGGACTCCGGCTGGACCCATCGACCGGGGACCTCCCGGCTCCGGGCGGTGATTGAAGGGCTCCTTCGATGGAAAAGACGGCGGGGCGGCGTTTTTTTTTCTTCTTCCGGGGGTTCAGGGGGCCCGGTAGCCTTTTTAGGAGGTCAATCCAAAGGGAAACCAACTTAGATGCTGAACCAAGTTAGTCAAAATCATGGTTGTAACCTGGGTAACCCTTTTAACTATGGTGAAGTAACCTACTTGCATGGCGTGGATTGAACATCCGGAAAGTGGAGATAAACCATGTTGAGGGTTCCTTATGTGCAAGAGGGGAAAGAAGTTGAGAGCCCTAGGGTTAGGGAATCCCCCCCCCTCGGACCACCCCGCCTTACAAGGCCTACAATGATTTCATCATTTGTTTCCGCCAAACCCAACTCTTTCCGAAGGCAGCCCAAGACAGAAGTGCCGTATCTCACGCCACTGCTCAGACCTCCAGTGTTGTTTTTTCAATCCCCACCTCGAACGCAGTGCTTGTTCTGAGCAACTAAGTACGACGCTTGGATTTGCGCATCTATGACAAGAGCCGGGAGTGTCAACAAAGGAGATGTTGCAATGCGATGATTTCATTAGCGATGCATAAGTGCGAAACACAAACAAAGATATGGCCACGCAACATCTTACCTAGGACGTGTCGACCGAAGGAATCCGAAAATGGGACCCCGCCTTCCTTTCAATCAGTCAGGGGGTTGTTTCGTAGTTCTAGCATTCCTTTCCGGGAACAGCTGGCCCAAGGCAAACAAATATATACATATAGATATATATATATATATATATTTATTTATGCGTCTTTTGGTGTTCCTCTCGGTTTCCCTTTAACAACCACTATGGGTGTGTGTTTTTGAGGCGAAGGGTACCGCATATCAGGTTTGTATTTATTCGGTTTCAAAAGGAGCACCGAAGCCCATGCGGGTCCAAAAACAATCGCAAAAATGGCACCTGTCTCGGTTCCTGGCCGGCTGGCTTAGGCTTTCAGTTTGTTTGTGGGATCCGGATGCATTATACACATTGCAACTTGGCTTTTTCCACCCTTATTTTGCTGGGGAAAAAGCCACATGTTTCAACTGGTTGCAAAATGGAGATCTTTTAAGTAGCCCTGTTGTACTGGGTAGTGGGGGTGTCCATTTAACCCACTGCAAGTGAAGCACTTTTAGGGCATCAGAAAAGGGACAGCCCAGCCATATTGATGCTGCATGCTTCGAAATGTCAAAGTAAAGGCACGCTTTCGGCTCAAGAAGAGACACTCGTCGGCTCCGTTTGCCAGGCCCTCACTGGCTCAGGCTCGGACGTGTCCAGGCATGGATCGTGTGATGTCAACTGCGGACTCATTTGGAGGGCCTAAACAAATGCCTCCCAGATCAACATAGAAGCCGACAGAGGAGGCGTTTAAGAGTACTTTGGTGCATTTTGCTTGGATGTTAGGACTTTAGCTTTTTGCCAACTAATGGGTTTTAACCACTAAAAGTTAAACTTTTAGCAGGGGAGCAGAAACCGAGAGTAAAACTGTCGTCCAAGCGCGTTCAGGCAGCTTCCACGTCAGTGAAAGGGAGGGTGGCAGTGGGTTGCAAACTACATTGGGCTACCTTTGACCCCAGTAAGTCATGATCACAGGAAAATCATGAGGTCAGGGGTTCCCTTATTTTTGGGAAGTCCTGCGAAAATATCCTAATCCAAAGTCAACCTGAACCACCTTTTGGCAAAAGGAGAGTTGACTGGGGCGTGCGCTTGGCGGACAATTCTTTACACCCCAAAACCACACACCCCTTAGGCCTTAAGCGAGCTCAAAAATGCGCCAATGCCAGTCTGGGGACTTTACTGGCTGGTGCAAGAGATAAGAGATGAGTTTCGAATCTTCCCGCTCCAGCCACCGGTTGGTTTTCAACATGGGTGACTATGCCGGTTATAGCTCCATGGTTATCAGCCAACTCCAAAAAACAAAACACCCCATGTGGCATCCCCAATAGCAGCCAAATGTTGCACCCTTCTGAAACCCGAAAACACCCGAGAGCTTGGGCCTATCGACCCCATAGCCTTCAGCTGAGGAACAATGCTAACACACTGTAAACATTGGTGACCTGATGATGGCCCGTGACCCAGCTATAACCTTGGTTATGACCTACTTGCCAAGTAGGCTGAACATCCAAGTAGCTCCGTGGCAGGCTTTTGGGGAGCAAGACGTTTGGTCCACTGCTATTGAAATCGCTACGCGATCCGCCGACGCCAGTGGACAGTCCTAAGCTGGGGCTGATCAATCTGGAGTCAGCACTGGCTCAAGGGACAATTGTCAGACCAGGGCTGCACAAAGTCAGCTCGCCCCCCTCTGACGTCGGCTGCAGGGTGCTTCAAATGTGGGCAAGGAAAAAACAGTTTTTTGCTTAGGTCACATGGGGCTCTTAACGCGTGGAAGGAGAACACAAACAGCGCCCCTCTGACGTTGGCTGGAGGGTGCCTTGAATTTGGGGTAGGGAAAAGATGTGTTTTTGCCTAGGTCACGTGGGAATCTTAGCGCGTGGAAGAAGCACAAACAACGCCCCTCTGACGTCGGCTGCAGGGTGCCTTGAATGTTGGGTAGGGAAAAAGACATTTTTTTTGCCTAGGTCAAGTGGGGCTCTTAGCGTGTGGAAGGAGAACGCAAACAACGCCCCTCTGGCGTCGGCTGCAGGGTGCCTCGAATTTGGGGCCGGGAGCAAGATGTCTTTTTGCCTAGGTCACATCGGGCTCTTAACGTGTTGAGGGAGAACAAACAACGCCCCTCTGACGTCGGCTGCAGGAATCTGGGGTAAGGAAAAAGATGTTTGTTTGCTTGGTCAAACGGGGCTCTTAACGCGTGGAGGGAGAACACAAACAGCGCCCCTCTGACGTCCTCGAATTTGGGGCAGGGAAAAAGACGTCTTTGGGGCTCTTAACAAGTGAAAAGAAACCAAACGACGCCCCTGCAGGGTACCTCAAGTTTGGGGTCAGGAAAAGACGTTTTTTGCCTAGGGAGAATAAACAACGCTTCTCTGAGGTGCCGTAAACTTGGGGTAAGGAAAAGGACATTTTTTTGCCTAGGTCACATGGGGCTCTTAACACGTGGAAGGAGAGGGTTCCTCGAATTTGGGTATCATGTTGCCATGAATTTGTCTCTTTGTTTGCAGATACTAGTGGTGTTTCGCGGTTTCAAGCGATGTTGGAATTGGCTTGTTAGGGGTTTGGGTGGGGCCAAGCGCAGTGATACTTTGAGGAGCTGTTCAAAAATGAGTGTCTTTTTTTGCAATTCTCCACCTGTACGGAGCAGTTACTGCGAAACATCCCCTGCATTATCGTGCTTGTGTAAGTCTAGGGTATTTGAGGGGGTTGCCAGTATCGGTTTTTGATGGTTGCTTTTGGGAAATATCGAACAACCCTGGTTGGTTGCACTTTTTTGTGGCTAGCCGGCTGCATTCCCAGCATTCCCCACATCTCTGGTACTTTCTGTGTTTGGTCAATGTGCGTGTCTGAAAGTCTTAAAATCTTGAGCGCGAAGATTGGGCTGTTCCTGTGAGTTGTGTGGTTGCATCCCTTGCATTTCCAGCATCCTCAGCATCTGGGACATAAAAAGCAAGAAAGTGCCAAGAAGGCCTTGTTGTACTTACAAGAAATGGGGCCTTGCTTTTTTTACCCTTTCGGGGGGTGGTTTAAAGAGTAGACCCTAGTGTTCTTCTCCGGTCACGTGTTCAGCCCTGCGGCCGAAGTCAGAGCGGCGTTGTTTGTCTTCTTGTTTAGAGAAGCAAAACAAAAACATCTTTTTCCATCATGATGCTGGGGATGCAGATCCTGCGCGTCCGGGGGAAACCCTCCCCCCCGTGGCACAATGCGTATATTGTGAACCGGCTCCTTCTTCAGCACTTGCTACTTGATCTGCGAAAAAAGGAATAGCAGCGTCGCAGATTTGCACGGTCAGGCCAACCCAGAAACTAATTCCAGTTCAACTTTTTTTCAATCTAGTTTAGCGTATCTCATGTTTAATTGCATTTCTCGAGCGATTATTGATGTCATGAAGTCTTATCAATGGAGCAAAATAGAGACATGACAGTGAATAATAGGTGATACAGAAATGACCAAGCGATAGGACTGTGGATTAATGTCTGAGATTACAGTAATCAATTTATAATTGGGTCTAGAGAGTCTATAGACAGGAAATGCATACCAATAAGATCTCAAGGAAGGGTGTCCCCCCTTCTTGTTTCCCTTTATCACCCCAACTCTTTTTCTCGGAAGCAGAGGTTGGGTGATGGGAGGTAGAGAGAGGAGAGAAGGGCAACAGAGAGGAAAGACTCACTGATTGGCCATCTCACTGCCGGATGGTAAAAGATATTCTTGGAAAGTGAAGATATGCCGAGAAAAAAAGGCGAGAGGGGAGGATGACTATCTGGCCTTATGACCTTTCCATCTCTTGCCTACATCAGTCTCTCTGTCATCTCTATCACTCACTCACTTCATGTCAACCTCTATCTTACCACCACCCTTTCTCCTCATTTCTATGCCTCACCACCTACAGCTTCCTTGAAGCTGAGATAGGCAAGGAGATGGATGGCCATCCAACCATCTCGTTTCCCTTAGTCATGTGATAGAAGCCAGAATGTCTTTCATGTCATCTGGGTTCTTCATTCCAACTCTCTTTCCTATCTCTTCACGTTTCTTCTTTCCTAGCCGTTTCAACGGTGAGAATGGAAAAGAGAAATGAAATTCTTTCCAGCGGTTACAAATGAATTCCTTTTGCTTCACCTCTATTCAGCTTCTCTTTCCCAACCTCTTGCCCAGTTAAAAGAAGGGAATTGAATGAAAGCTAGACGAGCTGGAATGTCCTTATTGTCAAGTTCCAATCATCTTTACCTGTCATTCCCATTCTCTTTGAATAGCTTTGGGAGTGACACGAGAGGAAAATAGAATGGAGAAAGGGAATGCAAGAGATGGAAAGCATCTCTGTTTTATATCTCTTAGAGTATGGAAACGCTTTTACGATAGTAACATCTCTTTCCCTGTCTCTTCCTTGCTTGCCCTGACTCTTCGCTCGCTTCTTCACTCATCATCACCTGCAAGCGAGAGAAAAGGAGATTGGGAAGGTGGGTGAAGGAGATCACGTTTTCCCTTTCATCCTATCTTCCCTCATCCACATCCAAGATTTGGAAGATAGAGATGATTGGAGATAGGAATGAGAGGTAAAGAGAAGAGATAATGTGAGGGTGATGATGGCCTTCCCTTTCATTGTTTCAAAGCCTTCATATGACCACCCTCCACTCGGAAGGTGGGTGTGGGAAGAGAGGGGGCGGGAAGGGTGGGTGTGGCTCACCCTATCATACATCCACCCCTCCAAGATTTAGAAGCTAGAGATGATGGGAGATAGGTAATGAGAGGTAAAAAAGAAGAGATGATGTGAGGGTGATGATGGCGCCTTCTCTTTCATTAGCCATCATATGACCGCCCTCCATCTCTCTCTCGCTCTCTCCGGTCGTTTACTTGGCATGCGGTCCCAAGAGTTCACACCAGCTCCAGCTCTAACAGACAGGATAATGATGGAGGCTGGTCATCTCACTCTCACACGCCTTCCCTTGCCATCTCTTAATTCTGGAGTGGCGAGGATTCTATGCAAGAGAAAGGAATGCAATTCCTTCTCCTCTATCACCAACATCTCCTTTCCCTTAACCATGTCACAGAATCCAGAACGTCTTTCATGTCATCTGGGTTCTTCATTCTAGTTCTCTCTCCTATCTCTTCATCCTTTCTTCTTTCCTACCCGTTGCAACGGTCAGGATGGAAAGGAGAAAGGAAATAGATGCCGAGAGAGGTAAAATGAAAAGGTGAGAGGTGACCAGAGGAAATCCCATCCGCTGGCCAGTTGTTTCCAGCGGTTACAAATGAATTCCTCCTCCTTCACCTCTATTCAGCTTCTCTTTCCCAATCTCTTCCCCAATTATAGGTTGCTTTGGGAAAGGGGAGGTCAAGAGAACGGAAGTGAATGAAAGCTACTTATTGTCCCAGCTTTTCCGTTCACTCTCTATTTCTTCCCCAATCATCTTTACCTGTCATTCGGAAAGCATATCTGTTTTATATCTCTTAGAATATGGAAATGCTTTTATGATAGTAACACGTGTTTCTTTTTTCCTTGCTTGTCTCTTCGCTCACTTCTTCACTGATCATCACCTGCAAGTCAGAAGGTGAGTGAGGGAAGAGAGTGGTTGGGAAGGGTGCACACTCACTTACTCACTCACATCCTCACATCCTCACTCACTCACTCACTCACTCACTCACTCACTCACTCACTCACTCACTCACTGACTCACTCACTCACTCACTCACTCACTCACTCACTCACTCACTCACTCACTCACTCACTCACTCACTCACTCACTCACTCACTCACTCACTCACTCACTCACTCACTCACTCACTCACTCACTCACTCACTCACTCACTCACTCACTCACTCGCTCATACGCTCAATCCTTCACTCAGTCACTCAGGGGCAGCGTTCGGTGCTCTCTGAAGGGACTTGGTGTTAGTCTGCATTTGGTGCCCTCTAAAGAAAACTTGGTGTTAGTCTGCGCGGCTTCGGGGCCCCCTATCTTGCGTGGCAGGCGCAGCACTTTGTGAGGGCTTGGGCGCATTTCAAGAGGCTCAGAAAATCTAGCCTGTGGCTTTGTCCTCCTTGTTCCAGACGCTATGGCCTTAGTGCTGGACGTGGGCAGTGACCAAATGAAGGTTGTCTTCTCCAGCATTGCCACACAGTCTTCGCCCTGAGCGTGGAGATGTTCGATGAAGCCTTGGCTGGAGGCAATGCCGTTTGAAGGGAGTTCAGCCCTCTTGGGCCTCACCCAGTCCTGGCGTGAGCATGAAGACCTCCCGAATCTGCGATGACTTTGTTCTAGCCATCAGTGGTCGGGAGGTCAGCATATCGTGTAAGATCCTTGCCCCCAACTTCGAAGCCAGCATGGACTTCGCGGCGATCAAGCACGCACTATCGGAGACGGTGGGTTGCGGGGGCGGATCTATGCAGATCTGTTGGCGCAGCCAAAGCGGCACATGCAAAACATGCTCGCTTCCGCTGGGGCCGGCTTTCCTTGCAAACTTGGATGACGCGGACATGGTCTGCCGCGAGCTTGCAAAGCGCGTCTTGGACCATGTGGCGCTCAGCTCAAAAGTGCGCAACATCAATCACACGGGCAAGCTGCCGGCCATCGTTCTTTATGCCGAATTGGGCCATGTTCTGGGCCACAGCCAAGATTGTGGAGTGTACCGCGGAACCCATCGGTCATCCTTGCAGGCCGCCGCATGGGCGGAGTGCTCCTTGGGTAGCATGCAGCCGTGGCTATGGAGCTCACTGCGCCGATGCTCGAAGAGGACAAAGGATGCGTGACACCAAGATGCAGGGATTGAAGTACAGTATATAGGATCGTATAGGGGATGACCAAACATTGTCGGATGACGAGGTGCTCATGGGGCGGACATGGTTTATGCTGAAAGCATTTTATGAGGACAAATCCTGCTGGCTCTGTCCGTCATCCGTTTGTAGTTCCCGTTGGGCATGAGTTTTGGTCTCACATACATCACCCACCGGCTTTCGCAGCCCTTCAGAAAAAAAAACAAGTGCCCACGCAAGCGCAATTCAACAATTATGCATTTCTTTGTTCACGTGCAATGATGTAAGCAAGAAGGCCGGCAGCTTGACGGAGTGAACTTGCCTGCGGCCTCTATGCCTCGAGCTCCGATCTGCAGAGTGGCAGTGATTCTTGCCAACCAGCCCTCCCAGACCCTTGACAGTCCGGAACGGACAGGGCCTCACAACCCCACGCCATCCCACGATGCGGCAATGTGTGCTTCCCCACCCAGAGAAGTGCTCGTGTAGCTGGGCCATGCCGCGGCAACCTCAGCTATGCTTCTGGCTTGGCCTCGGCTGGGCATTGAAGCACTAGCGGGGGTCTCTTTCAGCGTCTAGGCCGCTAGTTTTGGACGCCGATACGGAAGTGTCTTTTGTGATGCGCCCTTCTTGGGGTTGTGTTGCAGGACGGCTTTAGAAGAACCCAACATGGAGAGCTAACGAGAGACGGACTCGTCTAGGAGGAAGGCGAGCCGGACCCCAAGATCAGATGACAATGTCGACCTGACCCTGATTCGGTTGGTCGAAGAAACGAGAGATTCAGGAGGGATATCAAGAGGGACGCCGAGAACAAAGTTGAAGAAATGGAGCAGCAATTGGAAAATGCTGAAGCGGCGGCGCAACAGAGATTTGAAGATGTAGAAGTTAGATTTGAGCAAAGAACCAAGAGCTCGATCAAGAGGATCACGGTAGTGACCTCAGGATCAGAGAATGAGAAATCCTTAGGGATGAAAATGCTGCATTGCTCCTGTCAAAGAGTCAGGACATGGCACGTCTTTCGGACAAGTTTGCAGCCCAGATGTTGGAAAAAGATAAAGAGGTAGCAGAGCTTAAGTCTCGCTACAAGAACGATGAGGCAAGAGTTCTGGCAGAATTTGAACGCATCAGGAAGCACTATGGCCAAAGAGGTTCATAACCTCAAGAAAGCTCACCAGCAGTCAGAGATGAGCGAGTACGGGGTCAATGTACACCTCGATCAGGCCAAGGAAGAACACAACATCGCCAGAGAGGCAGAAGCTGAAAGGGAGCAGCGATGGAGAGAATCAGAGGAAAGAGCTGACGAAGAACATCGGGCAGTGACACAATCGATGGCAAGCAGAGTCGAGTTACTGAATGCAGAAACCCAAGTTGCTGAAGGGCAGCATACTGGGGATCAACGACTTCTGAACTCAATCAGAGAAGCGGCCGAGGCTTATCGTGCTAACCTTGACAATGAGTATAGGATCTTGCAATCGCAGCTGGCCAAGCGTGAGAGCGCGGTGGAGTCCAACGCGCTACACATGAGAGAGGAGCGCGTGAATTGGAGATATATTTGCATGCAATGTGCGCCACAGCGGCTTTTTGAGGGTGAAGATGTGATGATCCTGTTCGCCGAGCAAGAAGTTCCTCGTGATCACCAATTATTTCCTGGCTTCAGGCTCGCCTGGCATCTGGCTGTTTGTGTGTATGTGTTTGTTGGCCTGTCTGTTTGTTTGCCTGTTTGCTGTCTGTCTGTCTGCCTGTCTTCCTGTCTGTCTGTCTGTTTGTCTGCTTGCCTGCCTTGGCCCATCCGTTCATGTGACGGAACGTTCGGATGCGCCGCAAGTCATGCACTTCGCTTTGAAGCAGCTCACTGTTGCACGCGGTGCGCCTACAGGGTTTCAGGTTATTGTTCCGCGCGCGCTGCCTTTGCTCAAGCCAAGTCAGAACGCAGCAGTGTTTCTTTTCCTTTGTTTTCTCAGAGCGTGGTCGCTTGGCAGTGGCTTCACAGAAGCGGGTTTTGCGACTACGACGCTTCTACTAGCCAGCGGATCGAAAGAAAGTGGCTGGGTCGCCAAAAGCATGTCTCTCTTGAATTTCGGTTTCTTCATTATCGCGGTTCACTAACACACGCCCCCTGCAGGAGGAGGGAATCTGCTTTTGGCGATGAGGCATGCTGGCAAAGCGAGTGAGTTTGTGTGTGGATGGGCCTTTGGAGCTGGCTTGCAGGATGGGCCTGGGTGTGTGGTATCTTATTCATCCTTTCGGCCGAAATGTGCTACCAAGTTGACCTTGGCACTGGCAACAGACGTCAGATGCGGCGCTTCTCTTCCGCAAATTGAGCCCAATCTTCTGTGTGATTTTTCAGCCGGAGCTGCGCCAGCGGATTCTTTTCAGTTGCCCCGTGCTGCCCGCACCTCTCCCCTTCGCAGGAACATGTTTGCGGCGCCCGGCTCGGTCCATATGGTGTGACGCGGGCGCTGTGTTCAGCGCATTCGTGCGCACTAAACCAATACTGAACCAAAATACTAAACCAATACTAAGCTAGTCAAAGGAAGTTTAGAAGGAAACTTCTGAGCTACGGACTCTAATTGACGGATGGGAAGTAAAGAAGAGAATGAGAGCGCGCGAGAGAATATGCGTGCACGTGTGGCATGGGAATAGAAATGTGCAAAAAGTGCAACCCTCTGCGCGTTGTTTTTCCGGAGAAGCGAGAGCTACCTATAGGTCTCGGAACGGTCTCGGATCCGGGCCCATTGTCTTATAATGTCGCAGGTTCATTTTGCGTGGCAGGCGCAGCACTTTGGCAACCTGAGGTGAAGATTGCGTGGCAGGCAATGCATTTTGTTCGCTAGGTCTTCAGGATTCATGGCAGGCGCAGCACTTCGGCAACGTGAACTGCCGCGTGCCGATTGCGTGGCAGGCGCAGCGCTTTTGGGACTCAAGGTACGTTTCGCGCAGCAGGCGCAGCACTTTCGTGATCGGAGGTAATTACGTTTTGCGTGGAGCGCTTGCGCAGCTCGAGGTACGTTTTGCGTGGCAGGCGCAGCGCTTTCGCAGCTCGAGGTACATTTTGCGTGGCAGGCGCAGCACTTTCGGGACTCAAGGTATGTTTTGCGTGGCAGTCGCAGCGCATTCGTGATCGGATGTGTGTTTTGCGTGGCAGGCGCAGCACTTTCCGGGTTTGAGGTATGTTTTGCGTGGCAGGCGCAGCACTTTCGTGATCGGAGGTGCGATTCGCGTGGCAGGCGCGGCACTTTCGCAATCGGAGGTACGTTTTGCGTGGCAGGCGCAGTACTTTCGCAACAGGCATCAGAGAATCTAAGTAGCAGCTTGAATGTCGCAAAAGTTAACTACAAAAGTAGTATTCGAAATTCACTTTTCCAGCTGCAAGCTCAAAAGTTAAGCACAAAAGTAGTATTCGAAGCACTCTTCTCTTGTCCAGCTGAAGCTTCAAAATTGGAGAATTTTGCTGAAGCGAGCTAAATGGATATCTAGCTAGATAGATAACTGGATAGCTGAGTGAAAGATAGCTAGTTTGCTGGCTAGACAGATCGAGAGCTAGCGTTAGATAGCTAGATAGCTGGATAATGGTAAAGGTCTCCCATCCCGGATCATCATTGGTGGTACCTGGAATAATATCTTGAGCCAAGTTCGGTGTGCACTCACCTTGTCACGTTTTCCCTCTCATCCCTCACCCACCTCCAAGATTTGAGAGATAGAGAATAGAAGATAGGTAGTGAGAGGTAAAAAGAAGAGAGAATGTAAGGGTGATTATGACCTTCTCTTTCACTAGCCTCCGTTGGTTTACCATGCGATCCCAAGAGCCCTCCAGCAATATCAGAGACAATAATGATGGAGGAGCTGGTCATCTCCCTCTCACACGCCTTCCCTCGCCATCTCTTGATTTTGGAGTGGCGACTGTGAAAGAAAGGAATGCTCCTTCTCTATCACCAACATCTCCTTTTCCTTAGTCCTGTCATCGAACCCAGAATGTCGTTCATGCCTTCTGGGTTCTTCATTATAATTATCTTTCCTACCCTTCTCCTTTCCTAGCCGTTGCAACGGCGAGAATGGAAAGGAGAAAGGAAATACATGGCAAGAGAGAGAGAGAGAGAGAGAGAGAGAGAGAGAGAGAGAGAGAGAGAGAGAGAGAGAGAGATGGGAAGGTGATTCGGTGAGAGGTGACCAGAGGAAATTTACCCGCTGGCCAGTTCTTGCCAGCATTACAAATGAATTCCTCTTCCTTCAGACGTCCTGATTGTCCCAGCTCTTGGTCTAACCGTTTACTCTCTATCTCTTTCTCAATCATCTTTACCCGTCATTCCCAGTCTCTTTTAATATTCTTGGGGATGACAAGATAGGCAAAGGACTGGAGAAAGGGAATGGAAGAGATGCAATGCATATTTGTTTGATATCTCTTGGAGTTTGGAAACATTTTTATAACGGTAACATCTCTTTCCCTTTCTCTTCCTTGCTTGTTCTCTTCGCTCACTTCTTTACTCATCATCACCTGCAAGCGAGAGAGAGGAGATTTGGAGGTGGCTGAGGGGAGAGAGCGGGTGGCTGGAAAGGCCTCATCACGCTTTGCCTGTCATCCTATCTCCTCCCTCATCCACCTCCAAGATTTAGAAGATAGAGAAATGGGAGATAGGCAATGAGAAGTAAAAAGGAGAGATAATGTGAGGGTGATGATGGCCTTATCTTTCATTTGCCATCACATGACCACCACCCTCCATCTCTTTCTCTTGCTCTCTCCATTGGCCCCAGCTCTGACAGATAGGATAATGATGGGGGCGCTGGTCATCTCCCTCTCACACGCCTTCCCACGCCATCTCTTCATTCTGGAATAATGGCAAGGACACGTGAGAGAAAGAGATGTCCCCCCTTCTGCCTCTCTTATGTTGGCTCTAGAGCTGGCGAAGGCGTGAGACGAGCTGAAGCTCCATTGCCTGTCCGTTTCCTATCTTCTTTCCTCGTCTTTCTTCTTCGATCTTTACTTGACGAGGAGAAAGGAGATGAAAGGATGTGGATGAAGAGGTAATGATGGACGAATGAAGAGAGAAGCCTTGTGAGGGCTGGCCCAGCACTCATCTCTATCCCTCACGCTCTATCCTTCCTCTCCCAAGCCTTTATCCAACACACAGCTACTTGTGGTTGCGGGTAAAGGCGTGGAAAAGAGAAAGGAGTAGCATGAAAGAGTGAATTGACTTCACTCACCCTTTCCAACAGCTAAAAAGAGAAGCATCTTTCATTTCTCTTCCTACCCCTTTTACGCCAGTGAGAGGCATGCCCTCCACCTTCCCATCCCTTCCTCACTCTTTCCAACCTCTATGCTTACTCGCGAACAAAGGGGGTGACATGCCTTTCACGTCCTAGCCCAGGGGCGTGCAGGATGCTTACTGTTTTTTGATTTTTAAACTATAGAACTGAACTCTCAAAACATATTCAATGTTAGATTTTTTAGAACTCTAGATGGCAGGGCCCTTGATTTTGAGTTTCTATTGAAATTTGAAAACTTGAAGTTTTAGAATTGAGTTCTAAAAAAATCAAAATGTTCTAAAATTCGGACCTCAACAATTTTGAGAATTTTTAGAATTCAATTCTAAAAATTCTCAAAATCGGACCCCCGAAATTGAGAATTTTTAGAATTTTAGATGGTCGCAGCCCAGGAGGGGCCCAGCCAGGACCCTTGATTTTTAGAATGTTCAACACTTTTAGAAACTCTAGAATTTATAGAACTGAGTTCCAAAATTTCTACAAATTCTAAAAATCGGATTCCAAAAATTTAGCATGTTTAGAACTTTTTGAATTCAATTCTTCAAATTTCAACAATTCTAAAAATCGAGCCAGCGAAATTTAGAATTTTTAGAATTCTAGATGGTCCCAACCCAGGAGGGCCCAGCCAGGACCGTTGGTTTTTAGTTTTTTTAGATTTTTTTAAACTTTTAGAATTTCCTGAATTGAGTTCTAAAAATTCTAAATTTCGGGGGTCCGATTTTTAGACTTTTCTAAAAGTTCTAAGAAATCTAGAAGGCAAGGGTCCTGGCTGGGCCCTCCTGGGCTGGGACCATCTAAAATTCTAAAATTTCTAAAAATTCTCAATTTCGGGGGTCCGATTTTGAGCATTTTTAAAAACTGAATTTTAAAGTTCTAAAAAATCCAAATTTTGGGGGTCCGATTTTTAGATTTTTTAGAATTGAATTCTAAAAGTTCTAAACATTCTAATTTTTTGGGGTCCGATTGATAGAGTTTTTAGACTCTTTAGAACTCAATTCTCAAAATTCTACAAATCAAGGGTCCTGGCTGGGCCCCTCCTGGGCTGCGACTGTGTAATTTCAAGTTTGCCTCCCTATTTATTTTCATGGCTGGTCTTTGGTGTGGGGCTTTTCTATGAAACTTACGAACGGCGTGGGGCTTGGGTCAAACCAGTTTTGCGGGTTACATCCCTCTCAGGTGCCCGTTTTAAAACATCCTGTAGGGCTGAAACACACTGAGAGGGTGCCCCTTTGACGCTCTCAGGGCTGCGCGGGGGCTGACGCCTAGACTTTCCCCTCCCAGATCCTCCCAGACTCTCTTGATTTCTTTATTTTAAAGGCCCTCAAACCGCCAGGTTCTGAGACGGAGACCCCTAAACACCCTGTCGGGGTGTCTAATGGAGGGGTCGGGTCTTCCATTGAAAGGTTCAGGAGCCTTTGGGCTCAAGAAAGTTGGGTCTCATCTGGGGGTTGATTCCTTGTCCATTCTTTTCAGCCATCGTTCTTTTCAAAAAATAGTCGTCATTTTTTCAGGGTATTTGGTGGTTGTCGAGAAAGACGGATCCCTGGAAAGAATGGACATGGAAGTTACACCTAGATGTCAACCTGTGACCGATTCAAAAAGGCTCTTCCTCCGGGCCTGAGTATTCAACAGCAGGCCTTGACGTGCTTTCCTTCTCAAGCCAAATGGCAACGGGCCCAGATATGTGATTCAAAACCGGCCAAGGTGGAAAAGGGTGGGTGCAAAATGTGGGGTGTTCCTTTAACCCCAAAAAAGGTGCCCTTTACAAAGACACTGCCATAAAGAGATCACTTCTGCCAGCATTTGTCTCCGGACGCCAGGCCGGCGACGGCTTGGGGCTGAGCTGGGAGACAGGCTCAGCAGTCCCAGAGGCCAAGCATTGTAACCTAGATGTGTCGTTTTGTCATACATTTTACATGTTTGCATATTGTGGTGGTTTAGTGGTTGAAATCCAACCACTTAAGTGCTAAAATTTAATTTCTTGCTCCCCTTCCAACGTCAACCAAGTTGGGAGGGTAGCCCTGCTTCTTTTCGTGTTTTCAAATGGAAGCCCACGGGGGGGGGGGGGGGTCGCAGAAAAACGAGGCGCAGTTTCGTCGAAGACCCAAAAGGAAAACCACTCGTTCCAGGTCCTTTGGGGCGCCTCTTGGGCGATGTAGGGGTGTTCCAAGCCTCCTGGGTGAAGCTACCCCCGGCATGCCCAAGAGTCGGGGTGCCCAAAACAAAACCTACGGTTGATGGAATTTGAATCCTACACCACGAAATGAAACCATAGTTGAACCCATAACGTTTCTTGGAATTTGCAGGGAAATCGAACCATTCCAGGGTTTGTTAGGGTGGTGCACATTGGATTTCGTCCATCCACCGTAGGTTTTGTTTTGGGATGCAGGAGTCCCTGTAAAGCCAGCCATTCGGCCTTGACAAGGTCGCAAAAAAAGAAAAAAAACATCAGAGGTGTTGTTTCTGCGTGCGTGCGTGTGTGCGTGCGTGTGTGCGTGCTTGTCGTGTTTGTTTGTGTGTCTGTGCTTGTCTATGTACCCGTTTTACAGTTTGCAAGGGAAACTATCAGGAAACCATCATTTTGCGTGTCTTTCTGTTTTGACACACTTCACACCTGATTGAAGCCATCGCGATTGAGGACTTGCCAATGTTTGCTTCTCTAGGGGTCTGCAAATCACGGCAAAGCGTTGACGGACAACATCACTAGAAGTTTATGAAGTTTATGCGGTACGGCGCCTCATTCATCCAACATCGCACAGCAATGGGGTGGCGGCTGCCTACTGAACCAGCATCAAGTAGTCGGTTTGCGCAAAATTATACTAAGCCACCCGGGATGAATAAACCCGCCCCATGAGGGTGTGGTCGCTCGAGTGGTCTGAACCCCAAGGGACATGTTCAATTTGATTCAACATGTGTATTTCCAAGACTTCGGTTCTCTTCGGGGACCCTCTCCCTGTTCATCAAATTGGCTCTGCTTCCGCGGTAGGACCTGCATGGGGGGTAATTGCTCGAAAACACCCCCCTTGTCAACTCGTGAACTCAGATTTCACCATTGTGGGCATAGGTGTCCTTTTTGGCTTAGTCCAGTCAAGAAAATAGATGGGTTCCACCGGTTTAGACGGGTTTCATGCCCCATTTACCAGGGCACCATGTTCTATTTGTCCATTTGGCCCGCTATTTTTCCAAAAGGCCACTAGGATCCATGGTTCATTCCATGCCACTATTTTAGGTCCATTCGATTTTTTCAAAAGGCCACCTATGTCTGCAGGCCATCTGGGGTCAATTTCAATGTGGCCAGCTCATGGCTTTTGGAGTTGAAGGGCAGAACACCCACCCCAATTCTTGGGGGTTCCATGGGTTCCCTCAAATGTTGACGCCATATGAAAATCAACCCCAGCTAGTTTACGCAGGGGTGGGGGCCCTCCAAAAGTAGTCTGATTCCCCACATTTCACCCATGGTTGATTAGTATGGGATCAACATTAAGACGCAGAGATTCCCTCTAATTGGTGGGTTGGATTGGTGGTGGGTGATTACGGGGGCTTCCCATTCACCAAATAAACTACCATTGGATCTTAAGACACCACTGTCTATGTGTGGGGCCACTTTTTTTTGTGGGGGGGGGGGCAACAAGAAATGAGTTGAAACCCCCCCTCCCCCAATTTTTTGGGGCTTCCCCAAAAGTGGTCTGATTCCCCACTGAACCTAGGGAACACCGTGCACCCCGCTATTATGAATAAGCTGGTTTGATGAATCATATGGCCATGGGCCATGGGTCAAAATCCTGTACCCCCCAGTGAACATCCCAATCCGACTAAAATAAAGCCTAAAATGGGCGGCGAACTCACCTAGCCCAAAATGGGATCCCAAAACGGTTTTGACAACCACAGCCAAATACCCCTAAAAAGGGGATCTGACGAACCACTGGAACCCATGGAAAACTGGATTTAACAAAGAATAAAACTAACCAATGGAACCAGTTTCGTGGCAAACCCTGCCAACAAAAGTGGAAAACTAGTGAAAACTGCATTTAACTAAATTTAGCCAATGGAACCCTGCCAACAAAAGATCCCACTATTTTCGTGGGTTGGCTGGAAAGCCCGGTGTGAGTCAGCGGACGTTTGGTCCAAGGCTCGAACGCCGCGGAACTCCCCCATCGCCACGGATGAGGCGAGGTCCAGGGCTCCGTTTTCAGTGCCCAAGACTAGGTCCCTCAGTGCCCAGCAGTACCCTTTTTGTGGTTTTTGGGTTCCCCTACTGAAATAGACTACAGCAAAAAGTTGGTACCCTTCTGGAGGACAGTGTTTTTGTTGTTCTAAGGCCAGGTCCCCCAGCAAGGTGCCCTTTTACCAACTTTTTTTGGGCAGGGTTCCCCTACTAAAGTAGACTACAGAAAAAGGTTGGAACCAACTTATTCTAACCTCTCAAATCTGGAGGACCTAGAAGAACACCCCAAGGAAATCCCAAAGAATCGAGGAACCCCCAAGGAAATCGCCCAAAGAACCGGAACTTTGAAGGACAGCCCCAAGGAATGCCTGGTTTTCAATTGGTCTCCAACTTGAGACCAACCTGAAACATGGTACCTAGATAGCCAAGTTGCTGGTTTTTGGGGTAAAAGTGCATGGAAAAAAGCAGCAACTGGCGATCCAGGTATCTCCAGTATTTTCAAGAAAGGACACACACGTACAGGGCAATCGCAGCCAACTCCACTTGAGGGACTTACAAGCAAGTTTGAACCCCGGCTTACAACCCTGCACTAACTTGAACACCCAAGTCCTTTCGGGGCACCCCACACTCCGTTGGGAAAGGCTGAAATGGCTGTGGCTCAAAAAACCGGTACCAAAATGGAACCCTGGTAAGTGGAAACATGGACCAAAATCTGCCTAACCCCTCCTAGTTAATTTTGAGCCACACCCAAATAGATCGAAACTGGGACCGCCGTGTTTGTACTTGTTCGAGGCGAGCTTCTCCATGTTCGGAACCTCATTTTGTGGTTAGCCCTGAACTATACGGGCTTCAACAATTAGAACGGGGTTATGCTGCACTTGAAAATACCCCCCCCCCCCCAAAAAAAAAAACGCAAAGAATTCACAGCTGCAACACCAAACGACAATCCGTTGTTTGAGCAGCCCGGTGATTCCTAACATGAATATATATATATATGTATATATATATATATAGAGCATCCTTTTAAGCACAGAATGGAACGTGGCTGGTTACCTCGTAAACTCGCACAATCAAGTTTTGTTTCCTTGGACCAGGTATTTGGATACCGGCGGTGGAGTTGACACAACAGAACCACTGCCGAAAAACAGCGCCAATGATTTACTTCCCCATCAAAGCGGAATGTCCTGTGCTCAATGCAATCCTGTCCAAACCTGAACTTTTTTCTTTGCCAGGTGTCTTCATTGTTTCACTTTCGGCCAACATCGGCTGAACAGGTCAGATGTTGCGAAACGATACTCTCGGTCCCTTTGCAGCTTCCCAATTAAATCACAGCTTCCCAATTAATTCACAGTTTCCCAGAATCACAGTTTCCCAATTAAAACCAGACTGTATTTTGGGCATCCAGAGATTCAACCCGGCATGTCCACCGCTAAGCAAATTGGTTTGCTCCGCGCCAACCTGGCACAAAGAACTGCCGCGCCTGCCAGTGGAACGGATGACTTGCACTTCACTCACGCCTTTTTCCGTGTCCTCCAAATGGTAATTTGGCAAAATGGTGTTTTTTGTGGGACTAGACAAGGGCGTCAAGAGTGATATCTTGAGAAAGCAGATCTTGATTTTGCTCGTAATTGAGCAGTATCAATGCATTCGACCAAACCGAAGCATCAAAAACGATCTTGTGGCACTTGAGAGAACATCATGAAGGAAACTTTTTGAGGATGCAACTTGAATGGGGCCCATTCCTGTTCTTCCATGGTCGAAAGTCTCGTGCTTTCATGGACCTCTGGCATATTCTCAGAGGTTTATTTTTTTGGGGTCTTTCGGCATTTCTGGGTTACCTCCATTTACTTCAGAATATGTGTTAATTATTTTCCCCTGTTGGTTTTCAAGACAATCTACCACTGGCTCCCCGAATATCCATTTGAGAGGGACAGGGACGAGCTTTAAGTTTCCCATACAAAAGCAGGGATCTCATTTTCCGGAAGTGAATTTGAGCGCTGCGATATCATGGGGTGAGGCAAGCCGTACTCGGAGATGCTGCGCGGACTTGAAACGATTTGAAGGAACAACCACGTTTGCATGTTTGGCTTGGTTTCTGTGGGCGAAGATCAAAAACATGAAGAGTCAACGGACCCCTGTGCCACAATGGCTTTCTCGTTTGTGTGTTTGTTTGTTTGTTGTTTGTTTGTTTGTTTGTTTGTTTGTTTGTTTGTTTGTTTGTTTGTTTTGAGGGTACCCTTTCTGGGCTGGCAATGTGAAGAGTCCCTACTTTGAGACACGAGCATCGGGAGCGGTTTCATGGAGCAGCCCGGTTCACGCTTCCCATCCGGGAAAAAACACATCACTGTACTGTGGATGGAGGAAATCCATTTCGCAGCACCTGAGAAACCCTGGATTCTGAGTTGATCCCCCCGCAAATGCCAACAAACTTGACGGTTTCAACCATGAAAGTGGTGTGAACGGATGTTGCCCATCACCTGGTTGCCTTTCGATGAGCTTTTGGATGCTGTCAGACTTGAGTTGCCATTGGCAACTGGATCAAAACATTGAGCGCATTTTGTTCTTCCGGGACAAACGCAACAGTGAGCGCAGTATACAGGCCAGAAGCGACACATTGTAGATGAGTCAATCAAAGTAAGGAGAGGCAGAATCGGAAACTTTCGATCTGAGCCCATCCAGTAGAATGTGGGAAACTTGGCGCCGGCTGATTTCTGTGAGATCCACAATTGATTTGGATCGCCTGATGCCCTTTTGGATCTATTGCATTTGCATCAGAACCATGTCCTTTAGATCGCTTGGTTTGGTTAGACATAATATGGGCTCACTGATTTAGATTGGCATACTGCCCCGTTTTCCAGAGAAACTACATTTTCTCGTCCTATGCTCTCGTTATGCTTGTTGTGTGCTACCAGGGTCCCCAGAGTTGGTGGTTTGGAATGGCAATTGGTGTGGATTTGAACCCCAGTTCCTTTTGAAGAAAACATGATTCCTTGATTCCCCATTCTTTTCAGCCATCGTTCTTTTTCCAAAAACCAGATCCATTTCGCCAGGGTTTTTAATGTGGTTTGCTGGAATTCTTCGGATCCCTGGAATGAATGGTTACCCCTAGAATTCCACGACATCCCTCCGACTCGAAAGGCGAAGTGCTGGGAAGCGGAGGAGGGCAGAAGTCGGTCGAGCAGAGGGTGTCGCTGTCGCGCTGTGTGTCTTTGTCCTGCCCTGGGGTCATTGTACACAGCAAAGCAGAAGCCAACCACGAAAACGACGTGAGCCACTTGCTCAAAACCCGGGTAAGTGAAGGTTGGTAAGGGACAATCCCAACCATAAATAGCTGCGGCCGCCTTCTTAATTCTTTACATCTGGGTAGACCATTTTAATACCGGGTTTTGACTATGGTTCACGTAGGCTTGTTTCAAACCTAGGAAACCTAGTCGACAGCAAATCAAAAGAACAGTCAGACATTCGTGTTTTTTGGAGATCTCGAGTTTGGGTCGACCCACCCACTTGCTGTTTGCTTGCAACATCCTAGGACCTCAGCGGATGATTGGTACTCTATTGGTTCTCACCCAAAACTGTACCCACAGGTTTCCCTGTTGTTCTCCGAAGAGAAATAGTCACGACTTACAACTATATTTCGTTTCTTGGTCACACGTTAGAACTGGAATTGGGGTTAGTAGCTTACACCAGACAAAACTCGGGAACAGGGGACATCTCAAGTATAAGCAGGGTTTCACCGATTGATGGGATATCATGTTTTGCAAATCGCGAAGACAAAGCGTTGGGTCAGCAGTGTGCGTTCGTGTTTGTGTGTGTGTGTGTGTGTGTTTCTCCGCATGAGTCACTAACATCTAAGTGTGTGAGGGGGGTGGGGAAGGGGGGGAAAGGCTTTTCTGTCGGTCATTGCTTGGGTGGCAGATGCCCAGCACGAACTTTTGAGGCATTTCCATGCATGAAGGGAATTAGGGCAGAACTTTCTCGGTGTCCCAAACAGCTTTAAGCAGCTTCCCCACCCCAAAAACACACACATACACATCCATATTATACATGTATATATATATATATATATTGGAATATATATATATATAGACATTGCGGCCGCTGTGCGGGTACCACTTTTCCACCCGCAGACGAAGACGCATTACGAAGACAAATTCAACATATGAGAACGATGCACGAAAAGTAAAAGCAGCGAAGACGAATTACCCCCCGAAGACGACTTCCGAAGACGAATTGTCCGAAGACGAATTCCCACCGAATTCCCACCCGAAGACGAATTACATCCCGAAGACGAATTCCGAAGACGAATTATCCGAAGACGCATTCTCACCCGAAGACGAATTACCCCCCCGAAGACGAATTCCGAAGACAAATTATCCGAAGACGAATTCCCACCCGAAGACGAGTTACCCCCCCGAAGACGAATTCCGAAGACGAACTCCGAAGACGAATTCCTACCGGAAGTCAAGTTACACCTTCCGAAGATGAATTCCGAAGACAATTTAACAGCTCAACGCGTGAGCTACCAGTTGCTTCTAGATGCGAGCTGAATACAGAGTCATAGCACTCAGTTGCCCCCCGAGCGCTGATGTCATGGACGACGCCAACTTTTTTGCGATGAAGAAGGCGCCAAACAAATCTCACATGGCTTACGATTTTCGGTCATGAGTTTTGTCTTCTCTTCTGTTTCCAGATGCCAACTTTTAGAAGTTCCCCAAAGCGTCTTTTGGTCGCAGTAGGTAGACGCAGGCTTTTGTTTCACGGCCAGTCACCCGCTCAAGCAGATGGCCCAAAAAGGAGATAGATTCGTAACATGTTTTGCAGAGTATGTCGGAGCAAGGAAGCTGTAGGAAGCCGACAAGCAGCCACCAGCAGCGGGAAAGACAGAGTAGAAAGAGTAACAGCTTTATCGAGTTTTTAGAGCCGAGTCAGTTGCCTATCAGGCGCTGGCGCTATGAAGCGTGCAGTCAAAAAGACCATGAAGACATATGAAGACGCTCCACAGCAAGTCTCGTAAAGAAGGATTTGAGACGGAAATGGCGACTGGAAGCGCAAGAGGGCGCGGCTGCATTTTCGTACTGGCGTCATTTTTTCGCAGCTGGTAGGCGCAGGCATCGAATCCTCGCGGTCATCACGGCCTTTGCCTCAGTATTTCAGGCACGCGCGCCATTTGCTTCCGCTTGGCGCAGAGGCCGCTTTGTTGTGCTATTGGCTCCAGGTGGTGCAGCGGAGGCAGCGCTGTGCGCCGCATCTGCTTCACCTTGGCGCAGCGGTATCTAGCCCGTTGCTTCCAAGTGGCGCAGGTGTCGTGTGGCTTTACACAGCTTTTGATTCCTGCACACATGCAGGTATGGGGATGCACGCATTGACTCAGGCCAGACCTCGCGGAAAAAGAAGACCATCGCTTGCGCATTTCACTGTTGTCTTCACGCAGCTATTGACACCGTCCAAATCGGAAGAAGAGAAACATTGCGCGCCATTGATGCTTCGGTTTTGACACACGCTGCGCTCACATGTCAGTTACAGGGAGTTCACTCAGTGTCGGTTGCAGTCGTGACAGTTGCACGTACGGATGTCTCTCTCCACTTTCACTTTCCCCTGAAGCTAAGGACTCCTTCCCATTTGAGGGCTTGGTGCTGTCCCTTGATTCAATTCGCGCTAAGGGGGGAGCACAAGATGCTCATATTTGGCTCTAAGATCCAAGGCAATGAAACGCATCGCTTTTTGCAGCTGATGAAGGGCAGGTGTGCCACGCCGTGGAGGTGGTAAGCGCCGAGGCACAACAAGTAGCCTGCATCTTGGTTGATAGCTAGCTTGACAGACACTAAGCTTGACAACAATTCAACTTGACAGAACAGCCAGATAGCTTAACAGATGGTCAGATACAGATAGACAAGCGCAAGGGAGACAAACAAGTAGCGCAATTCCACAACGAAGAGACCACTTGGGACCTTGAAAGCAAAAGCGAGCATCCCTATAGCCGATATATCTTTGTGAAACTTCCGCCCACCGGCTTCGCTGGCTCTATTGGTGCTTACAGGCTCCAGATGGGAATCAACAAGTTGCAATCATGCCCACCCAGCCTGCGCCACCGAGTCTGCCAAGTGAACGCTTGCAGGTCACGAACAGCTGAGCAACGTTTTTTTCCGGGACAAATGCACGCGCCTTCGGGTTGACATTGCTTGTCTGCCGCGTAGGCATTTTGCTGACAGGGCCGGGGCCGCGTAGGCGTGCGTAGGCATTTTGCGCACGAGTTGCATGGAAGCTCTTTCAGGAGCCCGGGTTTTTTACCGTCTTTTTATGGCCAAGGCATTCTTGCCGAAACCCAGGGCAGAACAGCGTGAGGCCGCATCCTGTTTGTTCCTCTCTTTCCCAGTGGCCGGGGCATTCTTGCCGAAACCCATGGCAGAACCGCACCCTGTCCATGGGGAGGCCGCAGCCTGTTTGTTTCCTCCTTCTTCCAGTGGCCAGGGCATTCTTGCTGAAACCCATGGCAGAACCACACCCTGTCCACGGGGCGGCCGCATCCTGTTTTTACCTCCCTGTTCTCCAATGGCAAAACCATAGCAAGCCATATCCTGTCCATGGGGAGACCGCATCCTAGTTCTTCCTCCCTATTCAATTCGCCAGGGCTTCCTTGCCGAAACCCATAGCAGTGCCACACGCTGCCCATGAAGAGGCCGCCTCCTTTTTCCTTACCGGATAATGAGTAGTCAGGAGGTAGTGTGTCTTCAACCAACGCATCGTCACAATGCGTCGCCACCGGGTCATGCGTCGTCAAGGGATAATGTGTCGTCAACCAATGTGTCGTCACAATGCATCACCACCGGGCGATGTGTCGTCAAGAGCTAATGCGTCTTCAACCGATGTGCGTCGTCAGGGGGTACTGGGTCGTCAACCAATGTGTCGTCACAATGCGTCGCCACCGGGTAATGCGTCGTCAGGGGGTAATGGGTCGTCAACCAATGTGTCGTCACAATGCGTCGCCACCGGGTAATGCGTCTTCAAGGGGTAATGTGTCGTCAACCAATGTGTCGTCACAATGCGTCGCCACCGGGTAATGCGTCTTCAAGGGGTAATGTGGCGTCAGCCAATGTGTCGTCACAATGCGTCGCCACCGGGTAATGTGTAGTCAGAAGGTGGTGTGTCGCCGTCCGATATGTCGTGATAGCGCGTGGCCACCGGGCAATGTGTGGTCAGACGTGATGCGTCGTCAACCAATGTGTCGTCACAATGTGTCGCCACTGGAGGTTTGGGTTGTCAGGAATGTGTCGTCGGAATGCGTCGTCAGCGTCAGGGCGAATAGTCATACCCAGCCTGCGGGCGCCCTGCATATATATATATATATGTTTATCTGTATGCGTCACATATACGCACACACACATGATATATAGGGATAAGGGCCGGTTTGTGTCCCTTACGTGTAACCTTGCACTGGGGTCTCCCTCGGTTATAAACTCTGTTAAGGTCCCTGTTTTTCACTTTTGGGGCCCGCGAACCAAACTACGTTGTTAAGCTGCATTGTTGCCTGAGGGTCCCCTGGAATTCAACTATGAGGGCCGAAATGACCGCAAGAATAGGGTCTTGGGAGTCTTGGCTCCATTCTTTTCACCCATTTTGAGAAGCCTACGAGTGTCCTGGGATTTTCGACGTGTAGCGAGACGCGTAGGCACGCACATGTTGGTGACAAACGTAGAAATACATTGAATGCGTTTTTTATGTTATAGGATGCTTCAAAAGAAGGCATGCCCTGCATGTGCTTCTTAGGTTTACACAGGGATTCACGTCCACCAACAATTTTGAAAATGTGTCCCATCAAACTTTATAGGCACCTGTTCCATGAGGCAGATGTTCCTTGCAATTTGCGGGAACACCATGGGGGATTCACAAGCAAGCTTTTGCTTCAACCCGCCGAAAAGTCGTGCCCCAAAATGACATATCATGCAGTTCGTTAATTTTAGCCTTCCAGAACTGATTGTGTTTCAAAGCCTCGAGGGGCCTCATACTATAGATCAGAACAGACAAATCCTCAAGCAATACTAAAATATATAGCGATTTCTCCAGAAGGGTCCTTTACATGGGACGACCACTATGGAAAGCACCCCAACAAATACATTCGCTACTAAATGGGAAGAGTTAATTACCCATGGTCATTTGGGGGGCGAAGGGACTATTGGATCAAGCCGCAATGTTTTTCGGGTCCTGGTTCCAGGTTTGGACTGCCTGTTGTTGATTCCACGACGGGCAAAGGAGTAGTCGTGTGGATCAAGCCCGTCACATGTTTCTCCCCAAGATATGAATTTGGGGGGGTGTCTTTTCACTTCCCCACCCCGCTATTGGGACGTGTTCTGCTTAGATCCGGAGTTAACATATTTCGGCTAAGCCTTGAATGGATTGGCGGTTGCGATTGGCATGTTTCGTGGCTGGTCTAAAATATCAATGTTGCTGTGAGCCTCCAAAGGCCACACCGCATGCGGGCATTCCTGGCTCCGGACCAAGTGGAGCGCGGGCGCGAGCTCCTGGCAGTTCTGGGAGGTGCGGCCCATTCGACAGCTGGAGCGCCGGGCCAAAAGCTCCTGGCACTCGTGGGAGAGAATTCGGCAGCGCACGAGGGCCACAAAGGACGTCAAGCATCGAAAGCGGCACGCGTGGCGGCCGCTCGTTTGATGGAGCCACCGCGCTGGCAAAGGAGTTGAACGCCTGGTTCTGCCAGGGTTTCCGAGCCCTTTTCCTTTTCAGGGAACCTCCAAACTACGATCGTCACTGCAACTTGGGGCAAACTGGGAGACACCGAGACCTAAGAGGTTTCCCCCCGCTCAAACTCAGAGGACCTGCCCAAGAACTTCTCTCTCTCCGCCGAGCTGTGGCGGCGGGGGGGTTCGTTCACAGTCGAAGGGCTCGTGTCGGGGGTCGTACTGTCTGCTCGGGACGCCACGCGTTCCGTTTTTGGATTTTGGCCACAATTTTTTGCAGACGGAGGTCAAACTCTTTTGGAGGGTTTTTTTAGTGGGAAAAGGAAAGCGGCTTCTGCAGAACTGATTGTTCACAAGAAAATCACAGATGTGGGGTGTTTTGTTTTTGCACAGGGTTGTGGGATCAAGGGGTTTTTCCCGACTTCTGTGTTACAAGGGAATCTCCCCCTTTGTATGGAGGGTTAGTCTTTGGGAAGCCCTTTCTGTTGTATCACAGAAGTGGCCGTTTCCCACAACCCTGTTTTTGCATGACGGCTTCCGCATTTTCGCAAGGAAGGCTTCTTGTGCTCACGGGACATGTGCAAGATCCTTCGTTTTTGGATTGTGCGCCCGCGCTCAGTGGCAAAAGGAGGCTCGGTGGATCCCAATGGCCGTTGTGAGGCCAAGTCCATGTTTGGTCAAAGAGTGGTTCACTTGGTTATACTAAATCAGGCAAGCCTCAATTGCTGGTTTGGAGCCCGGTGGTTTTCGAATTGGATTTGAACTCCTGGTTTTAGTAGAGGGCAAATGGAAAAGCTCCCCACCAATCCAAATCAACTAGTGGGAAGCTGATTGTACTAAGGTAAATGGACTGGGGAGCATGGAGCTTCCAACTCTGCCATATGGCTGTGGGTCAAAACCCAGGAAACCCCTGATCAAAATAGGTGGCAAATGGATGTTCATCCACCCCAAAATGGGATCGCAATGGGCTAGCATGGGCCACTCTGTTTTGAACACCTTCCATTTTCATTTGGCTTCAAAACCGGGCCCCTGACTTTTCGAGTTTCCCCACGGCGGCGGAGAGACGGACGTTAAGTCCAACCTGCGTCGCGAAAACGGCGCGGCCGAAAACGGCAGCTCTATGGTCTGAAATATGGCAGAGTTGGAATAACCTATGGCGATCCCATTTTGGGGTGGATGAACATCCATTTGCCACCTATTTTGATGTTCACCAGGGGCTTCCTGGGTTTCAATTTTGACCCACAGCCATATGGCAGAGTTGCATCCCCCCAAAAAAACAACGACTTGGGGACCGCCTGGTGGTGTGTTCGCACCTGGGGCATTTTTCATCTGAAGTGATTTTCCACCCCGCCGAATCGCGTCCGTAGGCCTTGACTTGGAACAAATCCCATGACTTGCTTTCGACCCGAAAGCGAAAAGGCATGCGGCGCATGCGCAGGCATGATGCGTCAAAAACAAAACCTGGTAGCAACATAGTCTACCCAGAACCATGTAAAGAAGTAAAAGGCATAAAGAACCTTAAGATCAAACTAACCATGGACATTGGTTACGCCCACTTACAATTGGTTGGACCATCTAAGTACATGTAACTTTCGCCCTGCTGCTCAAGCTCTGCTCTTTTGAGTATGCCGCTTACATTGAATCAAGCTGATATATTTGTGTTGCCTCGAGTTCCAGCAGCAACCTGATAGGACCCAGACCTCTATATGTGTGTGTTTCTTTTGGTCTTACGAGAGGCCTTTAAACTCGGGTGACAAGATTCAGCTCTGTCTTCTCCATGGTCAGTAGGGGGTCTGAGAGCAACGCATTCTGTTTTTTTGCGCCCCGAGGTGGACACATCGATCCGAATATTACGACAACATATACACGCACATTTTTTGGGTTGTGTTCAAGGCAAACCAATTGAGCCCCTCCCCCTTGGGGGAAGCGGTTCACGCCATGCTTGCGCGGCTTGCGCTTCGGCCTGCGGGGCCGTTGCTGGAGGCGGGATTCGGGAAATGAGCAAGACGAAACTCGGAGCCTCAAGCTGCCCGTAAAGTCAGGCAATCCCATTACGGGGCCCCTTTGTGAACAGACACACAAGTGAAGTCAGTGTCCTTGATATGACTTGTTTCAGGTACATAACCTTTAGTTGGAGGTTTGAATTGGTGGTTTGGAATTGGAGTTGAAACCCTGGTTCTTGTAGAGGGTGAATGGGAAACACCGCCGAAAACCAAACCACCAGTTCAATCTACCAATTCTGTGTGTGGGATGCAGATAAAATCGGATATTTCCCACTTCTGGGTGATGTTCGATTGTTATGACTTGGAGGGTCCAGGTAGATGGAAAACGATTTGGATGCATCTCTGAGACAGGGACACAAATCCGCACAATTCGACTTGCCCCCTTTCGACCAATTCGCTGGTCAGGGTAGACGTGGTTTGGTGGGGTTTCTTGTGGTTTTCTCCTGACATTTCGCCTGGCGAACTCTTTTGTTCTCTTTCCGAACTTCTTTGACACCCGGGTCCCAAGCTCGCGCACACATCCTCCGGTTGCACGGGAACACGCGTGATGATTACCGGAGCCTTGCCGACCTGGCCACATCCGGCTGCCGCGATCAGCCGCGACTGCGCTCGGCAGACACTGGAGGCATGTGCCAAGCTGGCTGAAGGTGGAGCTGGGCAGCTGGAGCACCATCGAGGGCTTGAGTGGAGCAGAAAGGGACTAGGGCTCTTTGGGCTTCTGGTGGGGGGAGGAGTTCGACCCCTGGAATTCCATGTTTTGTAGCCAAGGGGAACGCTAGACAAATGGAATTGGGGGACCCCCCCTGCCTTTTCAGGCAGGGGGGATGATTACCCATTGTAGTCTCCTGACCATTCCTGCGAACTTAGTCTGACCACTTCGCGCTCTGTAAACAGTGATGCTACTGCAACCATCTAGAGATCACCCCCTCGACCATCCAAGAAGGATCTGGCCTTGGACCCCTGTTGATCGGACATCGGAGAGGGGCAACATGTCTTTGCACCTCGCTCAAAACGATCGGGTAATTGCATTATACACATAGTGTAATGTATCGTATACATCAATTTAATGTATATGCCGCCAAGTATTCTTGCAAAACCTTTGTACCGGGCTTCTCATTGTTGAGCTGTTTCCGGATGCTCTTCCGTTTTTTCGGGTCCATTGGAAATGGGGGAGGGCATTGGCTCAATGCAACCCAACATTGCGCTTCCAGGTTGGTTGCTCCGAGAAAATTGGATTTACGAGGAGTTGTTTTGTTGGTTTCATAGAGGGGCGGGCAAACTCATACTCCGCCCAGCAAGTGAACAGAAGGAAATTGAAAGGGTTTCCCTCCAACACAAGTTGCTAGACATGGATTTGTCACTAGGTTCCATGTCAAGTTTTTGCAAACATATACCTCGAGGGAAGAATCCCCGCAAGTGGTATGTATCACCTAGTTTGGGTTCCTTCGCAAAAAAGCACAGGGGAGTCTTTGATGGTGCGGGAGGAATCTCCCCGCAGAGGGGAGCCAAGTTAGTAAGTGGGTGAGAACCAAACGGTTACCAACATCTTACTTGGCGAACCCATGTTTCTTCGGGAATGAACCGTTGCAGTGGTTCCAGGCGGTTCGCCACAAAGGGTCAACCGATGGAAACTTCGTTGCAGGTTTTGAATCACGATCATCCCCCTTACTCCAAATACCCGCTTTTTTCAAGGTATTTTTTTTTTGAATAACCTGGTTTTCCACGGTAAATACCTCCTTTTTCAGTAGAGGGTCCACATGATACCCTAAAAAAGTGGGTATTTGGAGTAGGGGGATCTACTTTACGAGGTGAAACGCCTATAAAATGACCACTGATTCCCCAGCCCGGAGGTGGCTTCGACGTGCAGAGGCTTTCTCTCCAGCCCGGGATCCAAGTTGTTGGTGTTGGTTGGTTCCTTCCAAAGCTGCTGGCTGTGGCTCACAAAACCGGAATTCCAAAATGGCTTGCCCTGGTAAGTGGAAACATGGAAACCTGCGGTTTGCCCCTCCTGTTTAATTTTGAGCCACACCCTGCTCATTGGTTTTTCTGGTCGGATGTACGGGGGGATTTATCACTACTGGACATATATGTTGTATTTTTCCAAGGGATGTTCTCAGCAAATGGCGGGTCACATTTGTTTGAGATACACCAAAGTTAGGCAGAAGGTGGCGTCAGGGTCTCCGCCGAATCCTGAGTTTCGACCCATGGGCTTCAGAATCAATCGACAGAATCCGTCCATTTTCTTAAGACTATGTTTACTTTCCCCTGTTGCTTTGAACGGGAATCTATCACTGGACATATTGCGGCCTTTTTCCAGAGAGCAACTGGAAGAGGGGCGTTTTTTTGTTTTGGTTTTTTTTTGGGTTTTGGGTTTTGGGTTTTTGGGCTTTGGTGTTTTTTGTTTTTTTTTTCCGCCGCGAGCTTCCACCTCCCGTTGGCTTCCCACTGCGGCTTTTTTGCTTCGGGCCCTGAGGAAGGAAGCGGTCGATTGAGTCCCATGTGACTGGAGGTACGCCCAACAGGAGCTAAGCACACCTGGGTCCCCCAGCTAGGTGCCCAACTTTTGCCGTTTCTTATTGGGGGGGAAAACTCCCCTACTAAAATAGACTGCAGAAAAAAAAGTTGGTACTCTCATTCTAACCTCTCAAATCTGGAGGACCTAGTATACCTTTTGTACACGCAGCTCCAACCCCCAGAGATACCTGAACCTCTTGATTCGTGGCCCATGGCTGTGGCTCAAAATTCAAGAGCTAGGGTTACGCGGTTTTAGTCTTTGGTTCGATTTACCAAGGTGTCATTTTGGGCTCCATTTATATGAGCCACAGCCAAAAGATCAACCTTTGGCAGGGCTCCTTAAATGATACATTTTGCTCATTTGAAACATGGCTTTTTCCACCAACATAAAGAAATGGAAACCACAATTTACAAGGCAAATTATGTTTGATTTCCAGATCCTGTTGGAAGTGTCTGGCCCGGCAATTCGAAACACTGACTTGAATTCCTGGACTTGAAGCTTGTTGGGTTTGGACCATGCGAGTGGCAAATGGAAAGTCAACGGGCGGTCTTTTTTTTTGGCCAATCCACTCAGGAGTCAGGAGGGAGCAAGGCGATTCCTGAATTCTGGCTGCCGTTCAACCAGTTTTAACCCCAGATCTAAGTAGAACCCCTGGTTG